ATTCTGAATCTAGCCTGAATATAGCTGATGATGAAGAATATAGCTAGCAAATGGCTAATGAACGAAAAACGAATAAACAACGATTGAATGAATTGAAATAACGAACTAACGAAACAAAATTAAACTGTAGATAATCTAATGAATAACTGGAGATCAAAAATCGACACGATTGAAACTGGCAAACAAAACATACAGGGTCATTCACCATAAATGTCCCCCCCCTCTAGCTCACTTATTTTTGAATCTATCTAAAAATTTTAAAAATCATCTAAAATGATTTTTCAGAAATTTTTTTCCCGTTGCATTTTTTTATATTCTCCCTGAAGAGCTGATTTCATCAATGTATCACACTTGGGGTCTAGCGGGAATGATTACAGAGATATGGGGTGTTCAAAATCGAGATTTTTCAACTTTAGCATTTCTTTGTGTCGAAACTATTCATTATTGGTCAAAACGGCTTCAACGTTCCTATCTCAACTTTTGATTTACTATCTACTGACATTCAATTGGAACATATACAGTGTGAATCAAGATTCAGAATTCTGACCACCCTGTATCTGTTCCAATTAATAAATGTCAGTAGATAGTGAATCAAAAGAGAGATACGGACATGAAAGCCGTTTTGACCAATAATGAATAGTTTCAACACAAGAAAATTCTAAAGTTGAAAAATCCCGATTTTGAACTCCCTATATCTCTGTAATCATCCCCACTAGACCCCAAGTGTGATACATTGATGAAATCAGCTCTTCAGGGAGAATAAAAAAATACAATGAAATACAGGGTGTTCCATTTGAAAAAATCAAGTAGTACTCTGTAGATCGTTTGGTCCGAGCATCCTGTATTTTCTGATGCAACGGAAAAAAAATTTCTGAAAAATCATTTTAGATGATTTTTCAAATTTTCAAATCGGTTCAATAATAAGTGAGCTAAAGGGGGGACATTTATGGTGAATCACCCTGTACATACCCCTAAAATCAGACCAGTTCTCGAGTTGTGCCTGTCAGTATTTTGTGTGGTGTGGACGAGCCCAAAGTATAATGCGCTGTTGCAAGATATAACTTCCCTAGAAAATAGATCCGTTTTATAAAGGAACGAATTCATTTGCAAAAAATTTACTGACAAGTTATGATTACCATTTTGTAACACAACGTAAGTGAAAAACTATAGATACTTTTGCAAAATATCATAATTTATCTTCATTAGTATGTAATCAACTTCATCCAGCAAATGAGAGATTTATGAAAATTATTCATAATGCTCCACAAAGTAAGATAAAAAAACCTATTATGTTCCATTATGTTCCATTTTTGTTATAATATAGTTATAATGTATTCAAAGAACAATTTCTAGAAATCTGGACATATTGCATGATGATATCGGCAACGTCGTACTGACACAGGGACAGGGAATCTTATTTCAACTCTGTGTGAATGTGGCTTTTCAGAAAGTGGGTAATAGGAATGGTGATATTACGAAAAAAAAATACATATACATATATTAAATTTTCCCAAACTTCACAGTGAGATAAGAACCTCAATATTGGAAACTTCCCCATTGACTAACTTCTACTGATTCATTAATATGTTAATTTGTCTTATGAAACAGAGTTTGGCCAATGAAAACACCACTTTTCATTATAAAACGAATTTTCGACCTATAGAAACACGTACTTGGGAATGATCGAGTGGTCTATGTTTCTACATGATTTTATGAGTTCCAATTCAAATTGACATTCAATCACAGTGTATCAGAAGTTCTTGCAATTCACGGACTGGAAACGTTGGGATAATAATGTTGAAGTATTAATAGTGAATTGTTTATTGGTCGTTGAAAAAATAGTGTATGCATTATACAATGTTACATTTTGAAAACTTCCCACCCTTATCAATATCTTCCCTCGACATTGAAATTGACCTGTATTTTCGATTTTCCATATTATTTACTGGAAGGAAGATATTGAGGGTGGGCAGTTTTCGATGTCACCCTGTATAATGGGTATCAATACACTCGCATACCCTATAAATAAAGATATGAAAACAAGCATTCGAACTTGACATATTTTACGGAAAAAGTGAAATATCTTTTGTAATTCTCCAGTCTAGAGCTTCAATTATTACGAGATAATTCTCTAAATATTCGTGTTTGAGAAAAACATTTGTTTTTAATTGAAGCTAGAGTGGTATTTGGTAAGAAAATTCACAACGATATATTAAATTTATTATTATTAAAATAAATAAAATACCAAATACCGACTATCGTAACGCAAAATATTAATAAGGCGTAAGGTGATGGAGATATATTTTGTTATAAGGAACTGGAAGCAGTATTTATTATTAATCAAATTCGCATGCATAACTTTGTTAGGTTAAATAAAACAAAATTAACCTATTTTAGTATTGTAACTTAATAATAAAATATAAGTCGATAGTAGCTCCATTTCTCAGTTTTTTACAAATTCATTTTTCTAAAGTTGGTAGAAATTACAAGAATCAATAATTAAACGACTTTAGATGAATAAAATGAAATGAAATAAGTCGATTGGATTTCAAATTCATTTAGCAAAAGTTTGTAGAAATATATTTTCTTTCAAGGAACTTTTAAAATGAATTCGATATAATATATCGAAGACTGGAACCTTTGGCACGATAATACACTACACTGTTTTACCACTAACCAAACCGATTTTTTAACGCCTCGACACGTGTTTCGCTAACTATGTTAGCATCTTCAGGAGAAGATTGAAACTGAAAGTTAGCATCTTCAGGAGAAGATTAAAACTGAAAACAGTTTTAATCTTCTCCTGAAGATGCTAACATAGTTAGCGAAACACGTGTCGAGGCGTTAAAAAATCGGTTTGGTTAGTGGTAAAACAGTGTAGTGAATTCGACATAATCCAAAGTTGAATGTGAATGTCACCCTTTTTTGAATAAACGTCAAATATGTCCACTGAATCTCTTCAGAAATTTCTGGTAGTGTACCAGATAATTCTTCACTACTCGATATGTTCATGCCTATAGGTTCTTTTGACGTGTTATGATTGAATGTCGATTGAAATTAAACATCAAACAAGTATGTAGATTCATAGACCACTTGATTATCCCCAAGTACTTGTTTCTATGAGTCGAAAATTCGTTATACTTATAAGGAAAAGTACATTTTTTTCATTGGCCAAAATCTATATTTAATATTTAATTCGCGTATAGGGCAGTTGAAAAAATGCGTTCTACAACTCTTGTTTTTGTAATATACTTATGATTTTATGATCACTCATTATTTCATTACTCTGGTTTACCAAACTAGAATAATTGAATATTGGATCTGATTCTGATATTTAAGTTATATGTATATGTATAGTAAGATTGGTGCTTGTTAAAATACGACGGATTAAATTCTATTAGTTTAATTGAATTTGATGCAAGAAAGTCTTGCATCATGATGAATACATATATACCATTGGTGCAGAAATGTTTGTAAATTTTCTAATAATTAATGTGCGTAGATAAAAATGAAAGATATTGCTTATTGGTATGTACTGATAGTACAATTTTCTGAAAAATTGACATATTCCTATCAATTTCTGAAATACACTACATTCGGTACAACCGGTTTTTCCAGATCTCTTGGATAATTTTTCGTCCAGAAAATACCAAATAAGCTATCGTATTGTTGAAGTTATCTTGATGTTGAATATTGGCAACAATATTATATTATGTATTATCGTTGAAAGCCAAATAGATGTAGAAAGTTTTACTTTTGAAATTCTTTAAAACTGTATCTTGTATTAGTTGTAAATAATTATGATATCCATATTGTAAACAGAATAACATATGTAAATACATAGGTATATCCCAACAAAATATGTTTTTCATTTAAGTGTTGGGTATAGCCGCCTCTTAATTGCTATGGTTTTATCACCGGGTTTAATTGAATCCATACATATGGAAGCTTGCCTCTTTGTGTTGGTTCAATATACTTGATATGTCACAGGGATGTTCTAATGAATCGAATTTTAAATATACCACATTTCCTACAAAATGCCGATACTGCTTAATTAAAAGTAACTGTTTCAACGATTGAATTACAAATTGAGAGAGAGAGAATATTAATAAAATGCGTGTGCTGCTGATCGACACTTTTAGGTCCTAGGATTGAAAGTTTAACATTCAGCTTGCTTCCGTTTTCAAGATATCCAAAGAATTATGTTGTTCATTCATATTAATTATAGTCCTAATACAACAAGAAGATCTTGAAAATCTCCAAATTCAAATTCATAAATTGAGTCACGAAATTGCAATAGTTTTTGATGTTTGGTAATGAATTATATTTGGATCAATTAACGGGAGTTTTGTCACTCAAAATTAACATATTCAATTTTTATAGAGTTTTTATTGAGTGGAAGCCGTTCATGAGATTGATAATGTTTTTTTTCTGCAATCGGCTCAAAAGTCGTCCTTTTTTGTTCCAAAATTAGCTCTTGAAGTTGAGGTTTCTCTCACTGACACAATCAAATGATTAGTATGTATGTTGCTATAAAACACTTTTAGTGTCTAGAAGCTAAAGTTGACTTCACCTCGCAAACGCAAATATCGCTTGTCAAACCAAGTGTCACATTTGATCCTAATAAAACAATGTACTATTTTTATTTCATGAAGAACATTCTGATAGAAAATGATTTTAAATTACCATAATGATCTAAACCCCTGAAATGATGCGCAAAGTACTGAGTGTAAATACTACCTGCCTTTCTAAAATTTCGCCCTGTATGGAAAAAAGTCGTATTTCGTTTATTTAGAACATCTGCTGAAGATAAATATATTTCGTCCACAGTTTTATCGCTAGCACTTGCTAAACCACTGTTTCTTTATTCACAAAAAAGAACAAAAAATAGGTTAAACTGATAAAACATCCAAGGATAACGAAACCCAAAAGCACATCAATCTGTTTGCCTACTGAATTCGTTCTCCTTCGTCATCACTGTACTGTGTTGATAATTCTTATGTTATCCAATTTTAATTGAATCTTCTGATTCCAAGGTAAGTGTGATTTTGCATATTTTCCAAAATTTGTTTTTGTGAAGGATGAACAATCTCATTTAAGTATGTGGTTGTATATATTTGATTTTGAATTACATTTCTCATTGATCAGAGATCTTCACATAAAAAAATCGCAATATTAACGAAATTATTCGTCAATTTCATAAATAGAAATCAAACGATGCAGAAGCTTTCAAGAATACTCGTTTTCCTATTAATGCCATAATAATTATATTCCATAATGAACACAGTTTCAGTATTAATACGTCAAGAGTCTTGAACATTATCTATCTTCCGATTTTTGTATCTCTTCTGTGGTGTAAATCGCAATACCTACATGAAAAACAAATATTTTTTCATACTGTTTGGAAATGCGGTTTCATGATATCTGAATAAATACAAGGTTAACTGTTTCAGAGCAGACATTATTTTTCTGCTTCGTATTCTATCACATACCTTTACCTAACAAAAAAATGAAAAAGTCATTCGGCCTTATTATCGAAATAATTTGAACTAATTTGTAAATCAGTTTTTCAGAATGTATTACTTAATACTTCTGGGAACGGTGGTGTCTTCGTCGGCATTCTTGGAATCCTTTTTCATGGAAAACAATTGCAGTTCCTCCCAATTTGCGTGTAGAAATGGTAAATGTGTAGACCCCAAATTGAGATGTGATGATATCAACAACTGTGGAGATGGAACAGATGAAATGGACTGTGGTAAGTTGTTGGAGTTGGAATTTTGAATGTATCGTGGAATTGAGCTGGTCTTCAAGTGAATGTTTTGTTTTCTTCCAGAACTTTTTCTTTGTAAGGAACCAAGATTTTTTCGATGCAAAAACCATAGGTGTGTGAGCAAATCATTTGTTTGTGATGGTGAGAATGATTGTGAAGATTTTTCTGATGAAGTGGACTGTGAAAACTTTAAGGTAATTTGAACATCTCAGAAATACACTCACCGGCAAAAAACTCGGTCACCTTTAATTATTTAAAATATTAATAAGAGATGAACTATCTATTCAATTCAGACAAACTTTATTAAATATTTCAGGGTGATCGGTTTTATTTGCAGCTGAGTGAATTTTCAATTATTCAGTTTGATAAAAAATAGCATAAAAGCTACGTATTCCTACCCTGTCAGTTGGAATCGGAAGAGTTCCATTGAAATTTCTATGTTTCTGTAGGGTAACTCGGTGAATATAGAAGGTACAACAATTGATAGTCACTCTCTCCTTTTTTTTTTATACAACTCACTGACGAAAACAAAACTGCTATTGTAAAGTTAGGAGAAAATGACGATAAAAAACCACGATATTCACATGTGTCCGAAAGCCGAAAAATCTAACTTTTGTTTATACAGGGTGTTTTATAATATATGCGCAGTACTTCAGGATGTGATAGCTCGTTTAATAATATGAAAAAAAGTTTTTATCAACTTACCCTCTAAAATGCACCATTTTCGAGATACAGGGTGTTGAAATTTGAAAAAAAAATGTTTTTTGCGAATATTTCTGGAACCGTTTATCGCGCAAAAACAGCTTCACATTCACATTCTCCATGTGATGAAAATATCAATTCTTTCTTCTATTCACTATGGATTTCACGATTTCAACAGTCGCAAAATTGCAAATTCATAATGATTCAACAAACACAGGGTGAGAGGAAAATAAATATCTTTTTATAAATGATATTTCATATTTTGAAACGAAATATTCTCAGATATACAGAGAAGTGCACAAAAAACAGTCAGTGCTGTCGGATTTCTAAAATTAGTGGGTAGCAAGTAACCTCTATTGCTCTAATTGACAAAACAATTTTTGTTCCTTCTGTTCCGGTCTTATCGAAAACGACGTCATCCCCAACTTTGGAGTTTTAAATGGGACACCTGTATTTTATTCCATAATCGGTTAGGAATTGTTATGACGATGATCACGAAGATATTTGGTTTCGAAATGTCCATATCTCAATGGGCGTGACTTCGCAATTTCGAAACTTCTTTCTCAGTCACACTCATTGAGCAAATGGAAGAAACTAAGAACGCGAATATCTTCGTAATCGTTGGAAATAACCCTATCAAACCTGGTATCGCTGAATCCCTAATCGATTATGGAATAAAATACAGGGTGTCCTTTTTTGAAATCAACCAGATGTGACATGACAAAAATTATTTCTTCGTCGACCTCTACAAAAAATCACATTTTACGTTCTAATTTCCAAACAAAACACCGACTTTTTCCGAAGGCTAGTATTTTTCGTCCGCAGACACCAACTTTTCGTCCGCAAACACTTTCCGTCCGCTGCAGGGTTGCCAGGTCTACTGAATTTTCAGTATATCTCCTGATTTGCATATTAATCTACTGATCTACTACAACATTTCAATGTATGTACGCTGAACATTTCATAACCTACTGAAAAATACGTTGACAGATCTATCATTATAATTACCTATATTATTATTAATCTTCAATCAATCACATACACTTGAAAATCTTATTTCTCCTCTGGTACATGAATAACTATTATCAATCATGAGCGATTTGGTATACCGGGTGTCAACGAATCTATTAGACAAGTCATAACTTCTAGACCATTAGGTGTATCAAAATGAGATTTGGTATAGGTGAATAGTATGTGAAGAGGAGAATTTTCACATATTTTTCACTTTTCGGTCACTTCCGGTTTCACCGGAAATGGCTCCGGTTCTAAATTTTTAAATGGAACACCCTGTATATTGTAACATTTTTGGATTTCTGAGACAATTCTAGATCAGAATGTGACATTTTCGAAAGTTTTTATGCCTACTTGATTTTTTCGGAGTCACTTTTGAAATTACATCTAGGTGGCCATGATCGGAAGGAAACTAATCTAAGGACCTCAGGTGATATCAGAAAATTACTATCGCGAAGTTTTAGTGACAAGTATGATAGATATGAATAAGACAAGTTGGCAAAATTACATTTTCGTGTCTAACTATTATTTTTCAAATGGCGACCATTTTTTGACAAGCAGTTTCCGAAAGAAGGATATTTTGACGAATCTAACGATACTAATTTATTCATTATCGTTAGATTCGTCAAAATATCCTTGTGCTTGTCAAAATGTGGTCGCAATTTGAAAAATAATAGACACGAAAATGTAATTTTGCCAACTTGTTATATTCATATCTATCATACTTCGCAATTGTAATTTTCTGATATCACCTGAGGTCCTTAGATTAGTTTACTTCAAATCTTGGCCACCTAGATGTAATTTCAAAAGTGACTCCGAAAAAATAAAGTATGCATAAAAACTTTCGAAAATATCACATTCTGATCTAGAATTGTCTGTGAAATCCAAAAATGGTTCAAAATACAGGGTATCCATTTAAAAATTTAGAACCGGAGCCATTTCGGGTGAAACCGGAAGTGACTGGAAAGTGAAAAATATGTGAAAACTCTCCTCTTCACATACTATTTACCTATATCAAATCTCATTTTGATACACCTAATGGTCTAGAAGTTATGACTTGTCTAATAGATTCGTTGACACCCGGTATATGCTACCCATCAATTTTCAAAATCCGATCTCGAATGATTCTAAAGTTACAGTATTGGTCATTTTGTGCAAATAATGAACATTAAAAAATTGAAAACATATAAAGAAATACATTGAGGATTCGCATTCTCCATCTGATGAAAATATGAATTATTTTTCGGTATATTCAACAGAAAACGATTCTCTTTTGAATGCGAATTCTAAATGTATTTCTTCATACATATGTTGATTTTTTTTTCATGTTCATAATATAGTATCCCAGATCTTTTCATACAACCAATATCTCAGTTATGCTGCTGAAAAAAAAAAGTGAAAAATTATACTCTTTTCTAACCCATATGACTTGAAAGCCGTTTTGTCAATATCAACTTGTGTCAAACTACCCCCAACTCCTATTATTCAAATAACACCCTATACATTGTTTTGTTGATTTGTGAAGTGCAATCAATTTTAACTTCAATGATGTATCACACTTGGAATTTTGACTAACGTAATATTACAATTGAAAAGCAATTTTCTCAGATATATTATGAACATAATATTGACAAAATTACAAAATTCGAAGAAAATAGTAAGTATCAAGTGTAGATCATTTCTTTTTTTTTTTTTTTTTCAATTATTCGTGCACGTGTTTTCAGTCAGTTATCGATCGATTATCGATAATCACATTTTATCGATATTATCGGTTTATCGATATTATCGATATTATCAAATTTTTTATAAATTATCGATATTGTCGATATGTTTGCATTGAGTTGGTACCTGAAAAGGATCATTAGTCATAATATAAAGCAAGTGTAATATTGCCTCCAATATAAACCAATGAAAGCGAAGATCAACGCTCCCCTATGACTTCCAATGCTGTCTTCTTATAGTTGGAGTGGGCAATCAAATTGAAATTTACAATCAACGGATATTTCGGAAATTTTAATTGAAAATCATCGAAAATTGTATCTATAATAATCGATATTATCGATAGTATCGATAGTGTTGATATTATCGATATTATCGATAAATCTATTTTTTCGATATTATCGATAAACCAATAATTTTAATCAGAATTATCATCGAAATTATCCATAAACCGATGATTTTTTATCTGAATTATTATCGATATATTGATTAATTTGCCCACCCCTAATCGTGATATAACTATATAATAATCGTGATTTTTCAGATGTCCGATCATGTCGAATCTCATTGCGAAAAGGGCCATTGGCAGTGCGCCGATAAACTGTGCATCCCCGACGACTGGGTGTGCAACGGCGAAGACGATTGCTTGGACGGCTCCGACGAGCTTATCGGGTGCACCTCCAAGATCGAATGCGACGGTTTCAAGTGCAAGAACGGCCACTGCATACCCAACGAGTGGCAGTGCGACGGAAACAACGATTGTCACGATGGCAGCGATGAGGAACATTGTGGTAAGTAAATCTAGAGTTCCTAAATGTACTTGACACTAGGGAGTTGAAGCAATGCATAATGCGTAAGCGTAAACGTAGAATTTGACATCTGAGCATGCGCAGTATGCCTATGCCAGGAGATACGTCTGACTTATGTTTACGTCTTGCTACGCTGGCGCTAAACGCAAATCGTATTGAACCTATCCAAGCGAATACAAACGATAACTATTCGGTTTTTACTTTAACCTCACTTTTATCACATGAAATCACATTTATTTTTTATTGCGCTTTGTTCATGTTGTGTGCTTCGAAGAAATCATGGACAATTCAAATAAAAGAATTCTCTTCTCCTTGGAAGATTATTCGCATCTAGCAAGGAAAATTGTAGGCCATAGTCCCTACGAAGACACCTCATCAAAATGAATATAATGTGAATTACTGGAAAACTTATTCTTCCTAGTATTCCTAGGGCTCTAGCTAATCTTGGAATGTCATTTTTCGGAAATCGAAATAGATTTTCACATTCTATTTGAAATAACTACTAGCATAGCTATCATTTGTAGCTTCGAATATCAAAATCTCTTCCATTTCGCTACGAAGGGTTTGCAGCAACAACACTGGAACAATATCTAAGCAAGCGAAGACTAACAAATGAAAATAATTGAATGGAAAAGAAAAATAGAGTTAAAATGAGTCTGCTGGTCTTGTATCTTGGTATCTTGTATGTACTAGAGTCCCTTGATGGAAATTGACATTTAAGTCATCTTAAGATGACTTAAACGTCAATTTCCATCAAGGGACCATGTACGTAAAACATGTACGTACCATACGGTAGCTTTAACGCTACTTTTCATTGAATACGTACGTATTTATATTCACGTTTACGTCTATACGTAATTGAAAGTTTTTGTATTGGCTTTAACTCCCTATTGCTGTTTTGACGTTCTTTGTATATTAGAGTACGGACACTAGACAAGCAGTGACAATCAAACATAACCAAAAACCTACCGGTATGATCAACAAGAACTATAAGATGGTCCCACAATTTTCAATTTGATTCTTATTGGATATTGCACCATAACATTTTACAAACCAGTCACCTAACATAGGTGATCCGCAATAATTGCGGTCGGTCCCTCTATTTTATTTTTTCAACTATGTATTTCTTAAATTTTTTTGAATTTTTGTTGTAATATGTGAACATAGTTTATTCCTCCACAACAGTGCTCATATGTAACTAAAAGCTGATGATAGATAGAGTGAGTAGATTGAATAAAGTGACGACAATAGATTCCCATTTCCGGAATGTCATTTGTGGTCAAGTCACTGAATAGCAAAAAATCTGAAGGATATCTCCCATGCAGTAATGAATTTGCGCTTTCGAAGTGCCCACCTGATGTTACGATTAGATATCTGATATTTTCATTTCATCATCCAAATAATCTGAGAATTACGAGTCCCAAAAAACCGATTCTAATGGTTTATATCCAAGGTACTGACGTATAGAGTTTTATGTCTGATTGTTGGATATTTTGTGTCCAAAGAGCAAACAGAGATAAAGCATTGACAAACGTAAAACTAAATGGAGAAAACAAGACAGGTTGATGAAGATCATCTCAAAATAAAAAATATAGTTTTCCATTCGAAATAACCAAGTTGATGTCCACTTCCGATATAATCGGAAGTCCACTACCTTGAAGATAGTACCATTGAACAGGACCAGATCGATAACCCCTGGATACAAATTTTCAGATCAGTGTCATTTTTATAACTCTAAATACGCCTAATGTGCGGTTTTAGACGGTAAGCCCAACAACAGCCAATTAAATGGCGAATACTTATGGAAGTGAAACAAATATAATAATATCCAACTATTGTAGACGAAAAATTATTGTCCATAATATTGTGTGAGAGATTCTGCATTAAAGATCAGGTATCACATATCAATCCAAAACATGATGATGCAGAAGGTTGGAGAATGATTTTGAATTATTGTTAATAAAAATTTAAACGTTCCATACTTTGAAAGAGTAACTTGTTTTTCCTGGTATAAAGATTATGCCATCAGATTTTTTTTAAGAATTAAAATTCAGACAATCACTCCGAAACATAAATCTACGATTTGGTCGAAATTTTACCGGAATTTGGCTAAAATGTTGCTTTCCGGCTTTTTTGGATGGTGAAAAGATTAAACTCCAGACAGGTTACAAACCAAACAACAATAATTATTATTGTTGAAACCTCAATTTTTTCTGTTCTGCTCTTAATATTTTTGAAATTCCTCTCATATAATATCATTCTGCAAAATATTTTGTGTTCGATGAACGTTTTTAAAATATTCTGTGTTATATCATCAATTAATTATTATTTACAAATTGATTGAACCTAACCTGACTCCAGTATCATAATATGAACTCAAACTAACCAAATACTCTTTCCTCAGAAAACCACGTGCCAATAGAGAAATGTTCGATGGACAACCGAAAATTCTTATGCTCCAACAACAAAACGTGTATCGACCTCCACTTAGTATGCGACGGTCATCCCCAATGTCCTGATAGATCAGATGAAGGACCACTCTGTAACACAACGTTCGATTGCACCAAACACGGCTGTTCGCACGAATGCATCCATCTTCCAACTGGTCCGAAATGCTTATGTCCCTCTGGATACAACACCATTGATGATAAACATTGTCATGATATAAACGAATGTGAACAGTTTGGTGAGTATCTATATTGTATGTATACTGCTAGCTAGATCTAATAGTTATTTAATATGCATCCAACTACACTAATGAAACCTGAAACAAAAATAAAATACTTAGGAATATACAGGGTGTTCCGGTGATCATGTTACAAACTTCTAGGGTAGATGAAACACACGAAAATAAGAAAAAAAGTTCATGTAAACATGGGTCCGGAAACGCTTCTTCTGGGAGCTAGGACCCTTCGAAGATGACCTTCAAAAAAACTACTTTTCGTTTTATAGCTTCGGTACTACTGCAGCTATCGCAACCAATTCTGGGACATGAAATCTAGTTCGTAGGTTCATCAATTTGAGCCTTCCGGATTTTGTCACCTTCAACCAGGGGCGTACAAACCAGGGGGGTATTTGGGTAAATTTGACCCTACTCCTCTTAGGCTTTAATTTCTTACCATATTTATATCTGATTATGATTCTCCAATGCCTCTTACATAAAAAAGGTACTCTTGTAAAAATCGCTATCTGTCACCGTCTCCTCCGAAAATGGCTAAATCCAATCAATAATAAATCATTGGTCTTAAACCAATTATTACGTTGAAATATGAAAATGAGGTTCAGTTCAGATAGTTGTCAAAAATATGTCAATAAAATATTGTGTCGCCAGTGAATCATGGATTATACTTTCGCGGAATATGCCGATATGCTATTAATTTATGGCGAAGTTCATTGCAATGGAAGAGCCGCTTCAAGATTGTATCAGGAGCGGTTTCCTTGGAGGCGTGTACATGCTCACACGCTGTTCGAGAGGGTAAATCAGCGCATAAGAGTACCTTTTTTATGTAAAAGGCATTGGAGAATCATAATCAGATATAAATATGGTAAGAAATTGAAGCCTAAGAGGAGTAGGGTCAAATTTACCCAAATTCCCCCCTGGTTTGTACGCCCCTGGTTAAAGGTGACAAAATCCGGAAGGCTCAAATTGATGAACCTACGAACTAGATTTCATGTCCCAAAATTGGTTGCGATAGCTGCAGTAGTACCGCGAAGCTATAAAACTAAAAGTAGTTTTTGAAGGTCATCTTCGAAGGGCCCTAGCTCCCTGAAGAAGCGTTTCCGGACCCATGTTCACATGAACTTTTTTTCTTAATTTCGTGTGTTTTATCTACCCTAAAAGTTCGTAACATGATCACCGGAACACCCTGTATATCGATACCCATCTTAGAAGGGATTCACATATAACATATGTTAGAAAAAAACTATAATCTCTACTATACAAGTTCATGTATCTGTAAACAATCTTACCTATTTTTTCTTGTGTACACGAATGAAAGTCGTTGATAAAAAGTCGACGGAAATCAACTAAGGTAGAAAAATTCCATCTATCTATCATAGTTGATCTCTTACAATGCCAGTGAATCGATTTCTTTTGAATAGGACATCAATAGTTTATCTAAAGCTCATCAAAGGCATTTCATTAAAAAGTCTTTCCATTCCCATTGGATTAGTACTCGAGTATTTATTTCTATCTTCGGTATTTTGTATGCAGCCTTTTGAAATATAATAAGAAACACATTCAATGATTTGAAGTACAATACAGATTTCAACAAATATATTTTTTTATATTATCCAAGCCATTAGAACTCCTCTTTTTTTTTAGATAAATACATATTTATTTTCAGTTCGCTGAATTCAGCTATTTCAAGGATGTATATGGAAGTTAGTAGTGTATTTCAAACCACTGAATTAATTTTTTTATACGTGTACAAGCTTTCTAGCCAGACTCAACCACACCAACGAATTTTGAGTATATTCTCTATTCTTCTACAAAATTTAGTTAGGAACTTATTATAGCTTTATTCACTCAATATTCAGCTTAAGGTGTTTTCATAAAACATTCATTATAATTACATCATCATTAATAATTATGAAAGATAAAACGAGCCCAACTTGTTAGTGGCTTAGTGTAATGAAAATGTATTTATGAATACAGTCATTGTTCTCCCATGCTCCATCTTTTTTAATTCATAATGTAGTGATAATGTAATGATAATGAATGTTTTATGAAATAACCTTTACCATTACTAGAATCATTTGTTGATATATTTTGAAAATGTTAATGGATTGAGCCGTTTTCAATGTCATTCTAGATAGTATGAAAAGGGGTTAGGAGACTCATTATTCCAGATTTTTTAGGATACTGTCTCTAGGTTAATAATTTGATGAAAACTATTCCAAAGCAATCTTCTCAGTCTCGAATACTATGCTCATTTTGAATGTTTCAAGGTATTTGTGATCAGAAATGTCGAAACACCCCTGGATCCTATGAGTGTTACTGCGATCACAAATATTTCCTGAAAGAAGACAGGAGAACCTGCAAAGCTATGGGTGGAGAGGCCCTGATGATTTTCAGTTCCAAAACAGAAATTCGAGCTTTCACTTTGGATTCCGAGTTATACTTTCCGGTTGCTAAAAATCTCAAACAAGTCGTTGGTGTTGACTATGATGGTCACCATGTTTATTGGACAGATATATTTTCCGAACACGAAAGTATCGTGAGGTCTCTTGAAGATGGATCAGAGAGAGAGGTAAACATTATTTGTCCTCATATCTCAAAATATTCAATTTCATTCTCTTGTTCCATAAAATATCATAGTACTCTGTATTGTGTTTCATGAATAATAATTCAACTTTTTGTTGACATGTTGAAGGGGTTGAAATGAGAATGAGACATTAAAAAATTTCGATTGATTTTGAACAGTTGTAGCTTAACTATATAGTTCTCACAAGGAACGAATTTTCATATTCAAGAAGTCAAAACAAAAAAAAAAGATTGCTATTTGATCGATTCATGCAAACATTTACCACGCCGTAAATTTTTGTGAGAAACCAGACAAAATCAATTGGAATCTTCAAATCGTTCATATTTCCACTCTTCTAGCTTAGACCACTTTATTTTCTGACATAACTGAACGATCAACTCGCGGTGTTTTAGCATCAAATCTAATATAATGTCAATCTCAAACATAGCTACGAGGCAACGATAATGTGAACTAAACTAACTGAAATATTTCATTTGGAATGAACTAACTGAATCGGTTAACATCCATTCAATATTAAGTTAAGTGTGGAAAATGTTCTTGTTGCGGTTTCTTTTGATCAGCAATTTATTCACTTATTCATAATACTAAAAACAATTATACGGTTCAATCCGAATTGCACCCTTATTCTACTCGCAATGGCAACTTGATTATAATACCTAAGCTCAGGTTACAGATGTCAAAAAGGAACTCTGTGAATCTGCACCTCTACAATAAGATACCTTATAAGGTAAGGTGCCTGAACTTTTATCAATTCAAGAATAAAATCAGAGCTTTCTTACTGAAAAATTGCTTTTATACGATCAAAGAGTATCTTGATCTGAGCATGAATGAACTCGAACTTCTGTGATAGACACTTTCCTAGTTATACTTTTTACTTTTTATACTATTTGTGCAGTTTTGTAGTTTTGTGATTATATACACTTTTGTTTTGTATAGTACTATTTTATCTGACGATCAACTAATTCAATGTTATTAGTATGGAAATAAATATCTATCTATCTATCTATCTATAGTAGATAGTAATAGTATATCAAAATGACGACAAATATCATTTTCACTTCAGATTTTGATAACGGCGGGCATGGGTTTGCCAGAAGATCTGTCTGTTGATTGGTTAACTGGCAATATTTACTTCACTGATGCTGAGAAAAAACACATTGGCGTTTGCACCAGCGATGGAGCTCATTGTACAGTTTTAGTGAATAAAGATATCAATAAACCAAGAGGGATTGCTCTCAATGTGGAAAGTGGGTAAGTTTCTTATTAACACAACTGTAACCAATGGGACGTCCATTGGATCGACATCCTCCTCTGGGTATCACGGACATCCATAGGACATCCAGTTTGTGTACACTGGATGACGTATGGACATCCATAGGATATCGCCTTTCCAATTTTTTAGCTATCCATATGGTATCCGTCATGGACATCCATATGGTATCCGTCATGGACATCCATATATGGTAACTTTTATTGAATGTCTGAAATATACATTCATATAGAAATAAGATCTGGTCAATAAATATAGAACCTTCGTTTCTGGTTGTTACCTACTTGAAAATGTGATTTTATTCAAGAACACTATGGGTACCTACCATCATATTCGATATCAGATTGATGTGATATGTTGCTTCTATTGAAACCCCCTCCATCATTTCAGTTTGGTATTATAGTTGACACAATATCCTTTGGGCCTGAACAAATTTTTCAATAAGTTCACTTCTGCGCTATTAGGCGCTCAATTTCAGATCCAGGGAAGTAGTTGTTTTTCTCCTGAAATCTACCATTGTTGTTCATTTTATGAACACTGGGTGGAAATGACTGTGAGCTTTCCACATTCATTTACTATTTCATTCCACTGTGAGCATTGTGGCTATTTCGTAGTTTAATTTCAGATCCGTTCTACTAGTAGAAATTCTTCAACATCCTGGAGTGGCTCTTCACTTAAAGTGATCATGATGAGCATAACAAAACACATCCAACTCGTCGTTCACACACAAATATTAAGGAACAGATTATTACAATAATGTCACTCAATAGAAATTCGAACGAATTATGTGAAAATCATGAAAACGCTATACAGGGTGTTTCTTAAGTACGTGTAGAAAATTCAGGCGCATGTTGCTGACGTCTAAATAGGAAGAAAAGTTCGTATAATATGTCCGAAAGTTATCCGCTTCTGAGATACAGAGTGTCGAAGTTGAATTCTCTAATTCTTATTGGAAGACTTCAGCAGGTACAAATAAGTAAGAATCATATTTTGCCTACATTCCAATGTTGAATGAATATTGAATGAAAGAAGAAAAATGCACTGGCGTATCTTTTCTGATATTCACTAGAGTCGACTTACGAGCCACATGGAAATAATTCGAATGCATCGATTATTTCGAATCACAATAACTCGAAAACAGTTGCTCGCAGCAACCTCTACAAAAAATATATTTTTCACACAAAAGTGTTCTAGAAATCAATTATTTTACTATGAAACCTTATACAGGTACACACAAAAAAGTTATGACTTTTCAAAAGACTCGAAAGACATGTAGGTGGCGCCACCCCCACGAAAGAGACAAACTAACATGAGATTTTATATTGTTATTGAAAAATGCCACTAGATACCAAATTTTATTCCAATATCACAATTATTCTGAAATTTATTAACAAAAAACAAAAATAAGAATTCAACTTTGACACTCTGTATCTCATAAACGAATAACTTTCGGACAAAACTTTTCTTTTCATTTTGACGTCAGCAACATGCTCCTGGATTTTCTACATGTACTTAAGAAACACCCTGTATATCTGAAAATGAGATTATCAGTCTCAGACATTTATCGATGCATAACGGTTCACTGCTCTGACACGGATGACACTCTGTGAGCCTGTGGTCACCGAAAAAGCCGAACTTTACCTGGCCATCCATTGGATATTGTCATGTGGACATCCTATAGTTGTCCAGATTGTGTCCTTGGACATCTTGGACATATAATGGACACCATATGGATTACTTTATCTGGACATCCACTGGATATCCTCATGTTGACATCCTATTGTTGTCCAGAATGTGTCCATGGACACCTTGGACATATAATAGACACGATACGGATATCCAATGGACATCTTGTGTTATTGGGGGGATACTTATACAGGATGTTTCAATACTAATTGGATATATTTCTACTATACAATCCTGAGCTCAAAATATGAAGATTTAACCCAAGTCACCTAAATAAAATGCGTCTCATGTCTTGAGTTACAGGGTATTTTATTTGTTAATTTGAAAATTATTTGTACCTAGTAGGTACTTTAGAACTAATTGACGTATCAATGTCATATCTGGCGGAAAGCATTGATACTATACACCCTACTAAATTATGTAAAATAAACGTTTTTGGCTATAAACAGAGGTGTTCGACAGGAACAAGTGACTGGTTGATTCTTCCCAAGTTCTACGCCACTGGCGAAATTGCCATTCTATCAAAATTTTTCGATCCTCCAATACTTTTACTTATATTTCTCAAAGGCAGCATATTTGAAAACAATGAAAAATCATTTTTTCAAATGCAACTACACCTGACCGTCATTACCTTTTGGGCTCACGCAAAAGGTATGCCTTTTCATTTCCAACTACGCATTTCACTTATATTTCATTTTGGAATTCAGGCAGCTTGAGTGAAATGGCATGGAAACGCTCAATTTACGAAGAAATAATGCTAATTAACTTCAATACATGAAGAACCCTGGAGAAGTTATTCATTATCATCAAAATATACACATAATAACACCCTCCAAAAGGCATACTGGGTGAAATAACGTCTGAAAATCTGTCTCCTGGTCTATATTTTTCAAGATATTTCATGAAACGAAGCTGCACAGTTATTTTGATTTTGATGTGTATCAATTATGACGATGTTTTGGATCCTTCAATAAGTTATTTTTTACGGCTATAACACAAGATTGCTACTGTGCTCGATACATCAATGAGGTACTTTGTATGTCATCAATTTTATTTCCGTATCTGATATCACAATGACTCCATTGTTTTATTATTTAAAAAAAAAAACTCATCGCCCATGGAATGTCAAATTTAATTTTTTTATCAGTTGGAGCGCACTAAAAAAAGTCCCTATAATGTCCAAAAAACTTCATTCTCGTAGGAAATCAATATCATTCCGTGCTCGCTAAATAATTTACCGATTTTCATCTAGGGAAATGTATTGGACTGATTGGGGCTCACCAGCCAAAATATGTAACTCTCTAATGGATGGTTCGAACGATAAAGTCTTTGTATCGAACGATATCCACTGGCCCAATGGACTGGCCCTAGATAAACCTAATCAAAGACTCTACTGGACGGATGCTAAGAAAATGACGTTGGAAAGCATTCATTTAGATGGAACTGATAGAAGAGTGAGTATTCACTTATCTTTGAAAATATAAGGATTTTTTCATCATTTCTGTTTAAGAATTATTGATTTATATATTTTTTATAATATGTGCACATTGCACGTGCATTATTTATTACTGATGATGAAGAACTGCGTCATTGATTTGAGTGATTTTTTGGTAAAGTGAAGTTCTGGATGTTTGATTGCTTGCCTTTATATGTCACTTGACTCTTGACTTATCACTGTAGATAGGTAAGATTCACATCAAGAATTGAATATTATTTATTTTTGAGTATTTCATACCAAACTTTCATCAATTTTCCGAAGTGAATAGGTGAATTATAATTTATTCCGAATCAGCTAATACTAGAGTGCCTCGGAGATCTCATTTCACGTCCTTTAAAGAGTGTGGACACGCTTGTCATATTGTTTACAAAGAAAATATGTTTTATCAGAGATGGATTGTCATTTTTCTGTGCCCCTTCATTGACCGAGTGCAGACGCATGTCGCATATTATTTGAAACCCTAACAGTGGCGTTACACTATGGGCACATAAAGCTCCTTTTGTAGTTATTTTGATAATCCATCATTGTTTGTATTTTCACGAAATTGATATGTGAATTTCAGGCTTTGACGACCACTTAAAAATGTCATGAATATGTCATGAAAATGAGAAACTAAATATCTTAGTGAAACTATTAGCTCATCTCCAGAATCTAATAAATTATTTATCTAGTATAATGTTGTCAACAATGTCTGAATCAACATTTTGAGACAAATAGTCCCAATAAAAAATGTTTTTCAATTTTAATCCCCATTATTATCATATTATGATTTCAGATCGTTTTACAAGACGTTGTTAAGCATCCTTATGCAATTTCCGTGTTCGAGGATAGACTCTACTGGTCGGACTGGGCAACACATTCAATCCAAACTTGCAACAAATTCACAGGAAAAAATCATCGTACCCTCGTTAAAGATAACAAAGAGTTCATTTATGGAATCAGTATTTTCCATTCGGCTCTGCACAAGCGTGTCGAAAATCCGTGCGCTCTGTCTTTCTGTAGCGATATCTGTTTACTAAAAGGAGATGGTTATCGATGTGCTTGTCCTGAAAATAAAATACTGGGTGCTGATCAACATATATGCCGAGGTATTTATAAGGTGCTTTATTTTTGAATAGTATTTCTTGGTATAGTCCACTGATTTATTCATTTATTCATTGAATCAAGTAAAATCTACATATTTTGTCATTGAATATTAATCACATAAAATATACAGGGTATTTCATACGATACCTGTAGATAGTGGACACTTTTATGGTTTCAAAGCACTCCCATTGGTGTGTATTATAGTTTCCAAAAACAATTGCAGAGTCCCATTCTGCACCTGCAGTCACTTCAAAGGAAACTTCCAACACGCCGACGCCGAACAGTGCAGGCTATTTTGCAATTGATATTGGATATACTATGCCATCTGCAATAACTGAGATACAGGAAGTTTTCTTGATTTCCACAAAATATTAACCCGGTCATAATTTTTGACCGTTTTCATGTATTTTTTTTCGCTTTTAGAATGCTTCTATTTTTGCACAAAAAAATACGAGGAAAAAAGTTATCTTCAAAAAATAATGACCCCACCCTCTGAAAACACACTTTATAACAATATCTGGAACGTAGAAGTGTATCAGGAAATAGTAATTTGTTTTACTAGGCAGAAAAGTACAAGATTTAATGCCGCGGCTGGAGTTTCATAGCCGAAGAGGATGAGGAGCGGTTTGTTTTGAAAAGAAAACTTTATCAATTTCATTATATCATAGCTCCAGAAAGAATACTAGCACAAATTCTTGAAAAGGCAATTTTAGGGAGAAGGGTATACATTTTATTTTGAATGATTTCTAAACAGGCGATATCATTCATATGCCAGAAAATCTTCGGTTAATAAGGGGTATTTTCTCATACTTCAATATGTATGTTGAAACAGATGATATTTTGAAATTTGATATGGATATTTCTGCCACATATAATTTTTTCTACAAATTCTTTTCAATTTCACGCAAAGTCCATCCATCAATCCATCATTTTTTGTTCACCCAAAGTCATTGTCAATTTTGATTACCAATTTGATTCAAATTACTTGGAACGTTACAAAGCAACAAACTTTTTCTGCCTAGGCAGTAAAAGCACACCTTTTCTGCCTGTCAAGTGTCATTAAAAATTCACTTTTAATGTAATTTGGAGAGAAATGTATTTTATCAACATCCATTTACGCTGGAAATTTCAATCTGATGGATTTTACCGTTCAGAAGTTTTACAGAACAATTATTATCTCAATTTTATCAATTTTGGAAGGATATATCCTTGATATACGTTTTGCGCCATCAGTTCATTTATCAAACTATACTTATTTCTCAATATACTTTCAGCTCGGTACACATTTTTGACTCACCCTATGTATCCATTTTTCAATAGTATGTATCCATTTTTCAATAGTCATAGTCATAAGAAACTCAGAAATACATGTTCATCATACGAAACTTATTTTATCTTGATTCTGTTACTTCTATAATTGGCCAAAAAAAATTAACTCACGCTGCTCTAGCTGAATTCAATGAATTACCACTCAAGATTTAAAATTGAATTAAAAAAACACTTGATTTTATTACGAAATTGATAAAATTGATACTTTGCCATCTACTGATTAGTCCCTGTTGCTATTTTTATGATTTGATCGATTCAGCATTTTTCAGATTTTGTTGCTTATCATTGTTGTTGGTAATCAACTTTCTCATACCAGAATTTAATTTCTGACTGGAAGTTAGTTTCTCAATAAACAATGAACAATAATATATCTGAGAATATTCCTTTTCAATATAGATATTGTTGCGAAACAAATGCTAATAGCCGGCACCAAAAATACCCTGGTTCACATAGAGCACCAGTTCCTCGGAAAACACGACGTCACATCTCTACCAACTGTGGCCAGAGACATCGGCTGTCTGGCATTCGACACCGTGAATAATACTTTATTGATCAGCGATTTGGCATCGAAGAATATCATCAGCCTCAATTTGGACACAGGAGCTAGCGACATACTCGATATCGCCGGGTTGGGACGTATAACAGCAATGGATTATGGTTAGTGGATATATGAATAACTTGTTGTTGATGACTATTACATGTGGTGTACCGCAAGGGTCAGTTTTGGGGCCAATTTCATTTTTAATTTACATTAACTCAATATCTACTCTAAAATTGAATGGAAAACTAAAATTATTTGCTGATGATACAACAATAATATATACTTCAAAAGATTTTAACGATATCAATAATGATATTGAATAAGATTCGAAACAAATATCATCTTGGCTAACGACCAATAAGTTGACTCTTGATTATAGTAAATCTATGTATATGTACATCTCAAGAAGAACAACGGATATATTGTTTCAATAAAAAATCCAATGAATATACAAATGTAACAAAATTTTCAGTTCTTGGATGGACAATTATCGTGGACATGTAGATCATTTGAGGGAAAAAATTGATTCCTATTGCTGGTATTATATATAAAATTCGAAATTTCATTTCTGTTAGATACCTAAAGAGTATTTATTCCTGTCTTTTTTATTCAAATTTACAATGTCTAATATCTATTTGGGAAGTACAAATATTTCACGTTTGAAGCCACTCATGAAATTACAAAATAAAACAATAAAGTGCATTTTCAATTTACCTTTTTTAGAATCAACTGCGAATCTATACATACCTGAAGACTTGACTTCATTATATAAACTAAAAATTTGTTGTTTTATTCATTTTGTCAGGAAGGAATTGAAAATTTCAAATTTGAATTTTAATGAAGTTAATACGATTCACGCCCATGAAACGAGGCAATTTAATTTATTGATAGCAAATAATTATAAGTCAACTTTTGGTAAACTCTCAATATTCCATAATGGAATAATTTTATATAACTTCTTACCTAATGAGTTGAAAAATATAGAGGAAGCAGAAAAAATTTAAATCAAATCAAAGAAATATCTTATATTATAATTTTTTCAATGAAAAACAATAATTGTGCAATTATTATTGTTTCGATTTAATATGTTATATGTATGTTTTGTTGTATATAGCCCTATTATAAACAATAATGTATCTTGGGGTAATAAAGACAATCAATGAAAAACTTATCAGTACTATGCTCTGAATGGAGGTCCAATTACTTCCGGACATTTCCTAGCTCATGGATATTTTGGAAATTATTTATTTTTGTAGATCCTATGCATAATATATTGAACGGCTCACATGTCCAAATCTCAACTGTTGATTCACTATTTACTGATATTTAATCGGAACAGATACAGGGTGATCAGAATTCTGAATCTTGAAGCACCCTGTATGTCTTCCAATTAAATTCCAGTAGATAGTGAATCATAAGTTAATGTAGGATAGGAAGTTAAGGTAGGACAAAAGTTGAAATGGGAACATGTGAGCCGGTTTGGCCGATAATAAATACTTTCCACACAAACAAATCCTAAAGTTGAAAAATCTCGATTTTGAACACCCAATATATCTGTTATCAATTCGGATAGACCCCAAGTGTAATGTATCGATGGAATCAGCTCTTCAGGGAGAATTTAAAAATGCAATAAAATACAGGGAATTCTATTCGAAATAACAAAGTTGTTGCTATTTTTTATAGAAGCGGCAACACTATATTGCTGAAAATAATTTAAATAAAGAGAGCGCATTCTAAAATATAGGCATGCATATTTTTATGGATTTCTCCCGACTCGATTCTCGATATAGAGATAGTGTAAGCTCGTCGTGACACACCCTGTTGCTCCTTATAGATTCCATCTTCAGCTCGAATTGAAGTGATATCCCGAGTGTGATTGGCAGTCCGATACACAGTTCGCTTTGGCAAGCGCTTGCTTCAAAAAGTATCTATGAAGAGAGAATTGCATTTAGCGGTTTTCGCGTGTTGTAAGTGACGTCATGTATGAGCACAGATTTAATATTTCACGTGCACATCAACGTGTCTATAGTCACTGGGGCATTAAAAACCATGAAACTCGAGTTTTTTATGGTTTAAATAATGATTAGGAATCAAAAGAAATGGGAGGTTACACACTTAATCAAAAATCAAATATTTCATTTCAGATTCAAGAGGAAATAATCTCTACATATGCGATGAAGATAGATCCACATTGGAAGTAATCAACCTAAATTCCATGTCCAGAAAAATACTTTTGCATGACATGGATGGTGAAACTCCTGAAGCAATAGCATTAGTACCTGAAGAAGGGTAAGATTTACGATTCAAAATTTGTTTTTCAATAAAAATCATTCGTTCTTCCGGCATGGTCCGGAAAACACGTACTTTCCTGACAGGGCCAGAGAAGTGCTACTTTCTCTAAGGAAAATCTTCGGGGAGTGGGTTCCTTCCGGACAGCTTCCGAGAATAGTTATTTATGTACCAAGGACGAAATACTGTATATTATAGTCGAGTCAGCAAATTCATAGTCGAAGCCTTGCCGAGGCTAGCAATCAGTAGAGACAACAGACAGTTTTTCGTCGAGCCGTCGAGGTGCATATTACATTGTTTCGTTGACCTCAGACACTTATATCACGGTCCTATTCACACGTGCAATCTATCGGATTTCGTGAATAATTAGTATGACAACAGCAAATGACAGTTGTTGTCAACTCATTCTCCGCGCGAATCAAAATTAAAAATTCAGATCTATTTTAAGCTACATGAATTCCAAGAAAGGATAATGAAATAAATTCATGATGTCAAAACGTAATGTACTTTTAGTCAATAGAAAAGTAACCTATTTCCAACAAAATTGAAACAAACACAGCAAACATTCTCATAAAAAAAAACAATCAAATTCCTAATTCTCAATTCAAAAATACTCACAAATATCACAAAAAGTACTTGCCTTCGGAAATAGTCTGTTTTTCGTTCGGAAATTATAACGCAAAAAAGTGATTTTTTTGTAGAGGCCGACACTGATTCATTCTCTTCAGAAGTTCTTGGAGATTCCAGCATGAGTTCAATGTTTTTGAGAGCGACAGATGTTCAGGAGCTTGAAGAAATCATTAATGATCTGTAATAAAAAAGCACCAGACTTCGATGACATTAATGTTCATATAGTCAAAGCAGTTAAATCTGGAGTAAATTGATAAATATAACATTTGAAACCGGTTCGTTCCCCAAAAATTGTGAAATGGCAAAAGTATTACCAATTTACAAAAATGGAAAAAAATTTTCAATGAATGATTATAGATCCATTTCTTTGCTACCAACATAACCAAAATTATTGAAAGAGTTATGCATAAAAGATTATCTGATTATTTAATAAAAATTAAATTTCTCTTTGATGGTCAATTTGGCTTTCGGAAATGCTGACACTGAATGTGCAACACTGGATGTTATTACTGACATTCAGCTGAAATTAGATTCAGACTACAGATGTGGACTCTTATCACTGGATTTGCGAAAGGCATTTGATACAGTCAATTTTGAAATTCTATTAATGAAATTGACTCTAGTTGATAGGAAGCAGTTTGTGTATATGGGAGATTCATTTTCTTCAATAAGAAACATAAAAAAAAATTAAAAAAAAAATCTTGTGGTGTGCCCCAGGGATCAACTCTCGGACCCATTTTATTTCTGATTCATATAAATTCTATCTCAAGTTTGGAATCACAAGAGAATTTAAAATTATTTGCCGATGACACAACTCTCATTTATTACGGAAAAAATATACAAGAAATAAAAAACCAAATGGAACAAGATCTTGCTTCAATTATATTATGGTTACAAGATCATAAATTGACACTCAAGTCCGATAAATCTTTTTTTATGTTCATCTCGCAAAGAGTTATACCTGATAACTAAATAGATCCTTTAAAATTGGGGAATTTTTGTATAAATCCTACAAAATCTCCAAACTCTTAGATTTAACTATAGAACAGACTTTAACTTGGTCATCGCATATTCAATTGCTCAGAAAAAAATTATCCCCCATTGTTGGTATATTATACAAATTGAGGTCTTTTATACCTCTTAAATACTTGAAACTGATTTATTTTGATTTACTCCAAATTGCAGTATCTGATATCGATCTGGGGTACTGAGGCAAAATTTGTTTTGAAACCTCTCAAATCTCTTCAAAATAAAGCCATAAAATGTATTTATAAATTTCATTTCACTAAAAATAAGAAAAAGCACTCGAATCTTACTTTCAATATCAATTCTATACCCATGAGCATCACACCAGACAAAGTGAACATTTGAAAACTGTCAAAATAAGATCCCAATTCGGGAAAAAATCATTGTATTCTAGTGGAATAAATATTTATAATAGTCTACCCAACAGAATAAAATCTATTAGGTTCGTCACAAAATTTAAGTGTGAACTGAAGAAATATGATTTATCAATTTAACTCTCTCCTTGTATTAATTAATTCTGATTGAACTGTTTATCTTTCATTGTATTGCATATTTGATTTATTTATTATTTTTCTTTTGTTTCCCTCTATAAACATTGAATGTTTCTTGGGATCAATAAATGTTGTTATTATTATTATTAAAAACTGTATTATGGATCTTTCCGAGAGTACAGCAGTACTATGTTTTCTATGTTTCAGAGTTATGTTTGTCAGTTTGAACAAAAAAGGCGACAGATCATCTCACATTGATCGTTTTTACATGGATGGAACAGGTCGAACTCACGGCATGGAGAGTAACCTCGTCGGACCTATTTCGCTCTATTACGATCACGATTTACACAGGGTGTTCTTCGCCGATGCTGGAACAGGGTTGATCGAATCCACGAGCGTGGAAGGTGATTAAACTGATTGTGGTGTCTGAAATATTTTTTATAATGTTTTTTTTAATTGAGGCGATGATCGTCACCAGTTCCGGAAATTGCAAACGTATCCAGTGAGCATCGCAACATTGAATAATGATATTTTCTGGGTCAATGCCAATTCTAAGCGTCTTTATTGGGGAGAAAAGAAGGCTGAGAGCAATTTCAACAAGAAAATTACCCTTGGTGAGTAAATTTTTTCTTTTTCAGAAAGGTCTGTTCGAAAATTTTCTAAAGTGGATTATAGAATAGACATTGAACAAACGCGTGAATTCAGTTTCATTGTGCAGATAATTGAAATATCTCGAAAGATCCTAATTCGATCATCATAGATTCAAAGCTTAAATCAAATTTTATATTAATTAGGAATTCCCAAATTCATGAACATCACACTAGACAATATAACTTGTTTCATCTTGAAGCTGCAAATTCTGAACTTGGACAAAAAAAGTGATATCAAAAACAGATACAATTCAAAAATAAAGTGAAGAAATATATTTATATGCAAAGGAATAATCAAAGCTGAAAGACTATGAATTCCCTTTTTTTTTCACTGTTTTTTTTCCTTCTTGTTCACTATAATATGACTGTTATTTTGAAATATCTCAATGATATGTATGTTTTGTTCACTATTTGTAATTTCAATTATTCAACAGTCAATAATACTTCATGAATGATCTTATACCAGGAATTATTGTCTGATCATTCATGTCATTCCTACTAGAAAATTAATTATACTTTTTATATTATTCGCATAAAATTCATCAAAAAAGAAGAGTATGTAATGCAATTACTAAATAAATAAATAAATAAATAATCTTAGCTTAAAAATTCTAACTCTTTATTATAACAAATCTTATGTGTGTATATCCCTAAATTAAGTTTTGAATAATACAAGAGACGATTTTAAGAAAAAAGTCTATATGAACTTGTGTCAGGAAATGCTACGTTTTGGAGATACAGGGTGTTGAAATTGAATTTTTTTGTTCGCATTTTAAAAATAACTTTTGCTAAAAATCAAGTTATTCGCACGAAATTTGGTACCTGGGATTCATCTGACTAGGGGATTCATAATTTTGTATTAATTTTCATGTAACATCCAGGGGGCGCTGCTTTACGCTGTCATTATTTATTTAAAATTGTTCTTACATTTTTGACAGTAAACTTCTGGTACTTTGCACGAGGAAACCTCATTCCAACACTATTTTCAAGAAAAAAGGGTACACCTCCTCAACAACTCTGAAGGTGATCGTTTTCGTGATATTTACAATTTTTTATATCGATGCGTGTTACTTATATAGCTCCTAGAGCGCCAAGTGAACATAGCAAAAACTAAGTGTGTGGCAGGTCTCATCAAAATAAACAAATTTTTTCCTATGAAATGTTTATGCAAAAATGATTTTTGTTTCCTGTATTTCAACACCCTGTATCTCCAAAATGAAGCATTTCCGGACACAAGTTTATATAGACATTTTTTCTTAAAATTGTTTCAGGAATACGTCAGTTGAATATTTTAACATACTTATGTTACACCCTGTATACTGACATGATCTCCGATCTCATTTATCAGTATAATTATGGTATTTTATTACTATTCACTCCCTAATTATTAATACCAATGTTATCATTTTCTTTTTCAAAATAATTATGACCCAAGTAACGTGAAAAAAAGCCAAGGAGCCAAATATTCAAAGAAATAGTTCACATTTTGAAACAATACTCGAATTTAACCATACCTTAGTAGTCGCGCCTTATGATTCCGCAATGGATAATTTGGTTGGTTTGAACATGAATTTAAATTCACCAAAGATTTCATCAGTATGACTTCGGACATGTATATTTCTACGAAGTTAAATGTCAAGATTGCAATAAAAATATATGTATTCAATAACAAAGCCCAAATCTTAACATTAGACAACTATCGAACATTTAATAACTAGAATTCGAACAAAATGAACACTTTAATTCTGAGAACGATATGAAAATGTCCCAATTCCAATCCACCAATGCATAATCGGCAATCTCTGCAAATGAATGATGCGTCTTCTCATATGCACATGAATTTTTCACATGTACTACAAGAAAATCAAGGGGGTCTATTTTTTCTTCATCACAGTAGCATCGATTATGTTTGTTAACTGAACAGCCATTTATGAAGTATCATTCATCAAATGAAATATTATGATACCTAAAACGCCCAAACTAGCTGCTAAAAATTCAAAACCAAAGCCTTCATTTTAGGGAGGTACTGAGTGCGGCGGAAAGAGAGAATAAATATTTGAGAAAACACGTTTTTGTGCGGAGTGATACTCCGCGTGCGACTACTGGAAGGTTAATTTCACTTTACAGATCTAACCGAGGATCCCGAGAAACTCCACCTCGTATCAATATCTGCCAGAAAGCAATCCGTCAGCTCCTGTCGATTGAACAACAACGGCTGCAGTCACCTCTGTCTCCTGTCCCATAAAGTGACTGTTTGCGCATGCCCGGCCGGCTGGGAACTCTCCAAGGACAACCGAACTTGCGCGAAACGTGTGCACTGCGATGGTACCGAGTTTCTGTGCCATAAATCGAATACTTGTATATTGAAAAGCCTGAGATGCAACGGCCACAAAGACTGCACTTTTGGAGAAGATGAAGCAGATTGTGTGGAAGCCAATAAGTGCTCCAGTGGATTTTTCCAGGTAACATTGTTTGAACATTGCGTCTTCACAGCATATACCTATTAATTAACAATATGGATAACAACGGGTGCCAGGTTGAAGCTAAAAATATGTAACAAATGATTATTCATAAGGATTTGGTGGTATGATGCGCATGCGCAAATATAGTAATCATCACGGACACATTTCATGACATTGTGTTGTTTTTGTTCACGTTTCGCGGAAATGTTTAGTAGCAGAGGTTTGATGGATATTATGAATTTTCCGAGTATATTTTCTATCTAAATTACATCCCTGACTGAACTACTTGTAAATTACACTTGATCATTACATTATTTCTCACTTTTGCTGACCATACTTCAGGTGTATATTTTTCTAATGCTGTTTCCCACATAGCAAGAACTTTATCGTCATCATATCCTTCTTCTGCGATGTGCTTGTTATAAAAACGTTTTGCATCAGCTCATATCATTTCGATGGCATTGAATTGACAGTGATAGGGTGGGGGGGGGGGGGGGGGTAATCGTAACACTTCATGACCAATTTATTGCAAGAATTCGTCAACTTTGTACCTCTTTGGTTTGGGATGTAGCTTAGCAATTTGTAAAAGTTGAACTTTGAACGAATTTTTATTGAATGTTATATTGGACTGTTCTAAAAATTCTATTATTTGTGATTTGTTCCAAGGATATGTAGGTTGTTTTTCGATTTCAATACTGCGGTAGGGTGCATTGTCCATTAAAATTAAAGATGGTTTCTACAGATTGGGTATCGATTTATCTCTTTCACCCATTTCATAAATAATTCCCCATTCATATCTCCATGATAATCTGCTAATTTGGATTTCGTAGAGAAGAGCAATGCAGCATTTTCCACAAAACCAACACTGGCCAAAATGAAGTATAATAAATCGTTTCCCATCATAACCTTCTGGTTTATTCCCTTTCGCAAATATCCAAGTTTCATCTGAGAAGACGATTTGTCTTTTGGGAAACTAGAATTGCGATTTTCATAAAACTTTCTGAAAAACTCTGCTCTCATTGTAGATATGTCCGTCTTCTTAACCATGTGTTTTTCTGTAAAATAATCAGTTGGAGGTAGTCAAGAAGTATCAAATGAAATCACTTACTTTCTGCATACATAGTATAGATCACATTGCGTACTTCCATTTTCAAATTGTCATTCTGATCTACTGTCTTGGTTTTTTTTTAGTCCTAGATTCCCCTGGCGTACTCAAACTTTCGTTTCTCTCAGAACGTACTATAATACTCGAAACTGTCCGCAGGCTAATATTGAGGGTATCAGCGATACGCTAAAATTATTTACATCATGATGATATTCTTTTATTATTGATCAGGAAGAATGATGATTTACCTGTTTTATGGGAGTAAACGTGATCGAAGGATAATTATCATCTTTCTCTCTTGTGAAATATTGTAACAAATTTGAAACAAGACTTCGTACTTGCGAATTCAAACGTCTTCCTGGCATGTTGAATATTTGACAATGGCCACGCAAAACGATGTCATTTCACCACCTACTGCACGCCTCTGAGTTAGCCGATTCAAATGTGTCTCGACATACGAACACCTCTGTATTCAAGCTTTTAACCCTTTGAGTTCAAAAACGATGTCGTAACTTATGTCGAAATGATAGACATTGCTGCTCTATATGCAAGTCTGAAGAAGATAGCAAGTTGCTCGTATGTCTATGCTAATTTCAGTCACACGCAAAGAAATATTATACAGACTAACTAGTAATACAGTAATTCAATAGAGGATTGTTTTTATACGTTTTGAATTTCTGAAACAAATAATCATCATGAATATTGAATTTCATGGATTATTTCATTCATCTGAAAATTCACGCTTTTGATTGGTTGTAACAGCTGTATTGATAATCGAAAACACTATGTTATCGATTTTGTATTTCGGCACCTGATTGGCTACTTACTGTTCGAGTTTTTGTAGCATGACAGCAGGATATAAATGCTGTCCTAATATATTCGTGTTCAGGGAATAAAAACACTACACTTCTATTCAAAACCCAATAGGCACTATCACAATTTGAATTGTCCTCACAATTATTATAAGACAATTCCAAATAATTATTGATTGAGCATGATTCGCATGATATAACCTAAAATAGGAATAATTTTTCAACCACGACTGACGTGACATCTCTACATCTCTCTCTTCTCACTCCCTATGATGTACGCTGCTTTATCCATTCAACGCTTTAATGTATTGTTAGTTGCATAACATCCCTAGTACCTTCGATCGCGAGTGAAGAGGAAGAGTGAATGCGGGATCACGATTGCGGGAAACTCAATTGAGAAGGCTGCGGCCAGTTGTGAAGGAATCAAAGAAAACAAACCTGTTTATATGTTGATAAATATCGTTACTAGGTGTGGTGTATAGCTTGAAAATGGACAGTGAAAATCGTTTCGGTAAATATAGTGTAGAAGAAATAAGAAATGAAGTCAAAGACTTAACGCCTCAAAATACCGTGCGTTCCAAAAAGTATGTTTGGAAACAATTCACAGAATTTTGTGAACAGCGAAATCATCAGCTAAACGAAAATACATCTGATGAAAGACTTGCCAATATTCTCACAGAATGGGCATTTGATATGCGGAAAACCGATGGCAGTGAGTATAAGGACATGGTAGTGAAAACTATTTGGAATAATACAGCTAAATTACTCCAAGAAAAATACTATCATGAATACAATCGAAAATTTGATCCATTCAAAGATATAACATTTGAAGTTGCTAGAAATGCCAAAAATACTAAAAGAAAACAACTACAAAATATTCCGGAAAAACGAAAAAAGTCATGTGTTTCATTTACATCGGAAGAATTGACACAAACTATCCAAAGTGGGGATGAAAATACTCCAAATGGATTACAAAGGAAACTGTATCATATTATAGCAGTGGAATTAGCTTGGCGGGGCGGTGAAGCATGCCGATGTTTGATTCATTATTTCAAGGAAGAAATAAATAACAAGGGAACACCAACTGGAAGACTGGAATATAACCCTATATTCGCGAAAACCGCACAAGGTGGATCAAAAAATATTGCAGAAAGTAAATGGCTTGTGTCAAATAAAGAAAATCAAGAAAATTGTCCAGTTCGTTTATTCAAGAAATTGATGTCAAAAAGGGGAGAGAACATTAAAACTGATCGACTATTTTTGACAGTTAATGGTAATTGGAATAAAGATCATAAAAGTCCTTGGTTTAAAAATATGCCAATGGGTATAAATGAAATAAGTAAATGGACCAAACTGTCAGCTGAAAAGATCGGTTTAGATACAGAAAACGTGAAAATATCAAACCATTCAAACAGATCTACAGCTGTGAGTCAATTGGCAAGTTCTGGAATTGGGGAACAACAGATAATAAAAGTTACTGGGCACAGTAGTTCAATGTCATTGAAACCATATTTACAACTGAGCAAAGAACATCATGCTGATATAATATCAAACCTCAGAAAAGAAGATAATATGGATATATCCACGACGGTTGCATCTAGTAGCAGTAATGATGAATGCCACTATGTCAAAATAAATAATTGCAATAACTGTACATTCAATATAAATATTAACAATAAATAGGTAGTGAAAATGGTTTATTTTTCATTCATGAAATAATCTTGACAAATACAACACGTGTAATTGATGATTATCGAAAATTCCTTCTCTTTTTCGAAACAAATTGTGTTGCTTTTAGGCAACCACACTCACGCTATGCGCTCGTGTGGTTTCCAAGCAACACAATTTGTTTCTCAAAATCGAAGGAATTTGTGTTTCGATAATCATCAATACACATGTTGTATTACAAGCGAGTACAATGTTTGGAGAACTCATCATCAATGTAGTGGATTTATAATTATGATCATCATTACATAATTATTCTTTATTTTTAGTGTGACGATGGCGAGTGTATAAGAGAAGACCTTCTTTGCAACCACCATTACGACTGCAAGGACAAATCAGATGAGCACAACTGCAGTGTGAAATGGAATGAAGCACATTGTCCACCTTCACATTTCAGATGTGCAAACGGAAATTGTATTCCTGACAGGTTTTTGTGTGATGGAGCTAACGATTGCACTGATAATTCGGATGAGACTAACTGTGATGCAGTTTATTGTTCGGACACCCAATTCAGGTGAATATAAATCATTCCTCGAGTTTTGAATTCTTTTCTTCTAATACTTCAAATTTCTTATAGATGTGATTCGGGAACATGTATTCCGAAAAGCTGGGAATGTGATCATGAATACGACTGTACTGATTTGTCAGATGAACATTCCATGTGTTGTAAGTACAATTACTCCAAATTCAATATTCTAAGCTGTAAGCTGGATTCGATCATTTCATTTGGTGATTTTTGTATATTTTTACAACAAAATGAAAGAAATAATCACGAAAATACAATCACAATAAATATGTGAATGAACTATAAATATAATGAGTTGTTCAAAATGAATTATGGCATGTTATGTGATTTCAATGATGTCAGATAGCCATGATGTAAATAATCAATTTTGGTTTCAAACCAATTTTGTTTATGAAAGGATGGAAACTTGCTGCTCGATATTCTTAGTCCTTTTTTATCAATGCGTATATCTGAGTATTCACCCTGTAAAAACCATGTTGTGACCATCCAGAATCATTCTGGATGGCCTTTTTAGGGCAATTAATTCAATTGGCAAAACTGCCCTTATCATGCGATAGTTTTTTTTCGAAAACGTTTTTTGGTACTTACGTATTTTCGCCTGAAAAACGAATTTCACAATGAAAATGTGAACGAACGAATTTTCACCTTCTTTTGTAACCCATCTAGGATATTCATTTACAACTACTACTTGTCCTTCTTTTTCCATCACTGGACACTTCATATACTCACGTTGTACTTCAATAACACATTTTATTTCCTAAAATCAACAAGAAGCATGGTTTATTCAGATTTTTTCATATTTGAATCTCATACCTTGCGAACTTACATTTTTTCCTGAATTATGTATTCTTTGAGATCATTCTTCATCCTTCTTCTTGTCCATGTTGTTGTTTTCTGTCTTACAGGTAATGTGCCAGCTTATTTGTTTCACATTATCGAAATATGTTGTAAGAGCCATTTCAATGTAATGAGTCAGAGGAATGTCAATGCCTCCGAGTTTCATCGTTCATTAATAATAATAATATAGGTTTATTCAGAAACGTTCACAAAATATATATTGGAACATAAAGGTAGCTATTTTGAATAAACTGGGAAAAACCTTACGAAGTGAACCTTGTAGTAAGGATAAAAAACAATTGTACATAGATCAATAAATATTCAACGATATCAAATTATCACAAAGGAAAAATTGTCCCATTAGTAAATGAGACATCATATCTATATAATTCATATATAGTGTACTGAGCATTTCATTCAATTCGCATAATTATTTGTATTCATATATACTTATTCAAAAATTATTATTTAGATGTTCATAGTTATGATAGAATCATTCATTTTTATTGCCGATAAAGAATAAAGAACATGCATAGCTAACTTTCGCCAAACTTTTATCGATTTTACCAACCTTCGCACCATGAAAAATGTCACCCAACCATGTTTCAGCCAGTTACCTGCCCGCGGTCATTTCATGTCTAACTCTTAATCTATGCTAGGAGTTAGGATGTTTTCCCTTAGTCTTGAATGTCATCTGTCATGACCCCTTGGTGACCGCGAATTGTCGATAAAGAACTGCCCGTAGCTGACCTTCGCAGGACATTTCATCGTCTCCAACCATGAAGATTACCATCCAAACTGCATCCAACTATGTTTCAGCATCAGTCACCTGCCCGACAACCCTCCACACTTGCGCCAACGGCAGATGTATCGACCCCCACCTACTCTGCGACGGCGCGGACGATTGCGGCGACAACTCGGACGAGCGCTCGTGCCTCACTGACCCCTACCCCTGCGGGTCCGGCCGTTTCGCCTGCCCCTCCAACACGTCGGTGTGCCTGCCCCTCTCTGCGAAGTGCAACGGAACGGCGGAGTGTCCGCGCAAGGAGGACGAGCAGGGGTGTTCGGAGTGTGGGGAGGAGGAGTTTGGCTGCACGAACGGGAAGTGCCTGCCGGTGCAGTGGCGGTGCGACGGGCTGGACGATTGCGGGGACGGGAGCGACGAGAGGGCGGAGGAGTGCTCGCGCGGGAACGGAACGGCGGGTGGGGTGGGGCCGACTTATGCTTCCTGCGAGGATGGTTTCAGGTGAGTTTTAGTAAGTGTTTCTGGTTCGTTAATCATCTTACATGGGTTTGACGAAGTTAATTGACTTGTAAATATGATTTATTTTGACCGCCAAGATTTGACGTCGAATTTGGTCACATTATCTAATTCGTTGTTATCTCAAATATAATCCAAAGTAGGCTTTGACTCCAGAAAATCGAAAGAAAAATAGTTTTTCCAAAAATATATATGTCAAGATATGTCTAGTCATCCATCCTTACTGTTAATACTACAACAATACAACGTTGGTTTTGATATCTGACAATTGATACGCGATATATATTTTTTGCAGCTGTATCTCATTTTACGTTAAAAAGTGCCTGTAGAAAGTTCTTTCCGTTTGAAAAAATATCCAAAAATAATAATATGGCATATTTTCGAAATCGGTCAAATGTCAATTTTCGCCTATATCTCGGAAACGGTTTGAGAAATCGAAATGCGGTTTTCACCAATCGACGTTTTACAAAAATCGAGCTCTAGACCAAGGTCAGTTTCTCTCAAGCTGTTCTGGAAATAGGAAAAACTGACAAATTCGAGCAATTTGGGCACCCTGTATATTGAAATATCTGTTGTTGGATAAAATACATTAAAAATGTATGGATGATTTCACTCACTTTGTCCTATTTGATTTATAATAGAGAATATCCGCAATGGTTCCACTGCTTTACAGTTAAAGAACTTGAAAAGTTCAGAATGCACCTACGCCACGAAGGAATGTCTGACTGAAGACATGAATTCAACATTTTGTTCTGCAGTAGTCAAATGTCACTACCTTCCATTTTCCCATATTCATTATGCGTTTTCATTTCACTCATGCGTTCTACCGTAACAGACACATGGGATTAAACGAACCAATCAGGTATAGTCATTTGAGACAGCTGGATGATAAGACATTCGCCGCGCCCGATAGTCCGTTTAAAATGTTCAAACGGACTGCATGGCGCCGGCGATGTTTTTTGTTGAACTTGTCTCAAGTGACTTTGTAACGACTATTCAAATGCCGAAATAGAATGGCATTCACGTAACTTTATTCATGCCCAACATTCGCTTGCCAAATGATTTTAATTGAAATCTGTGTTTCATGGTGTATCAGCTGTCGATGTCGATATTTCATCTATATTCATTTTTATTACATGAATTTGGATGTTAAATAGTAGTTTGAATAACTAAAGAAACGCTCTTTTATAGATAGCCAAATTGAAAAGAAGTAGAAAATAAAATGATGAAAGTGTGTTGATAAATACACAACCTAGAAAATATTAGCACCTTCATAATCAGTACATTCTATGTTGTGTATTTATCAACACTCATTGATTTATTTTTTACTTCATTTTAGTTTGACTATCTATAAAAGGGTGTTTCTTTAGTCTTTTGAACTACTATTTAGTTTCTATTTTCAAGTTCGGCTAACTAAAAACGAGTGTTTTTCAGTGTTCTCATATTTTTCTAAGTATTTTGATGAAAGAATCATAATCTCCGACCCCGAAAACACCCAGATGATGATTTTTAATGAAATCGGACCATGATTACATATTCCATCCGCCATATTGGATGTTCCAATTTTGACAGGAGCATCATAATTTCCGACCCGAAAAGCCCCAGATACCAATTTTGAATAGAACCGGATCATATAAATACAAAAATTGTCCACCATATTGGATTCGCCATCTTGAATTCCCCAATTCGGATCATAGTTACAAAACTTATCCGCCATATTGGATGCGCCATCTTGAATTCACCAATTTTGCCGAAAGAATCATACTCTTTGACCTCGAAAACCTCCCAGATACCAATTCTGAATATAATTGGGTCATAATTACTAAACCTGTCCGCCATTTCGTTTTTTTGTCATATATAATACCACAAGTGATAATATTTTGCCGGAAATATTCGGTGATTGTTACGACAGCTTGTTGCCTAGTAATTTCGTGAATGACATTGTTCTCAAAACTACGAGCCGTAGGCGAGTAGTTTTGGATCAATGTCATGAGCGAAATTAGAGCAGCAAGCTCTGGAGTATGTCAATCGACGAATATTTCCAGGAAAAATAGTATCACGAGTTGTATTCGTATGACTATTTCATGATTGAATGAGACAATATATATAAGAAATAGGAAACATAATTTAAGTATATTCCAGCTCAAACTGCGAAGAAGAACATAATGATAGTAATGAAATACAGAATTGAATTTTTTAGAAACTACCTAGCTACTTATAGTTGTTCACAAAGTGGAATGTACAATTTTGATAAACAGTATTTTTTTCAATATCTTGGAGATGGTTGCTCCCAAAAGAGTGTATACAATAATTGCTACCCAATTCAAACAAAATAAATTGAATTTATGTGACATCAAATAATTAAAAAAAAAGATGTAGTCGCCGAGGGGCTCGAAGTGAGATAGAGTAGGCCCTGGCTCGAACCAGACCGTCAACAAATATGCAAACTTTTTGAATTTCACATGAAACGTCCAGCCAAAATGAAATTGTCTCGCGTTGCGAATTATAAGTGCATTAAATGAAGTAGAGGTACAGATGTCTCAGATTTGAATCCAAAGCAATCTTGACCAGACACGATGTCAAAATTTTATCGCTGATAAACGAGGTTTGTTGGTCACGCGTGGGTGAATTCGGCTTCTGTATTGGTAGAGCAAGTCCGATAAAATTTAATAAACAAAAAATATCGCTAGAATACAGAAGAAAAAGTTAAAATGATCGATTCTGATTGGTTCTCGAGCTCAAGAGTGGAATAGTCTAACAAAAATTTCATGGTGCATTGCCACCAGAATCATGTCGATCGGTCATTTTGAAGTGGGTGGAAATCGAGTCCTAAGGAATCGGTTACATACATACAGGTGAAGCTAATAAAAGCGTGTTAATGATATTAATAATAATAATAATAATAAATGATGGACACTTCTGCTTGTCAAAAACTGAGAAGATATTTATAAAAATATGTTACTTCCTCCTGAGTCTGTATACATGACTTATCAATTACGTGGTTTTCTGGACGTACTGAGATATATTTTGACTGAAATGGACATAAAATGGACGTCCAGTGCTATCTGAGCTATATCAACTGGATGCTGTGAAATTTAAATTTAATCAACAAGTATTTTCAGGTGTAAAACCGGCGACTGCATCGACCTAAAGCTAGTCTGCAACGGCAACCACGATTGTTACGATGGTTCCGACGAGGACGGCATGTGCTCCGTTTCGTGCGAGGGAAAGAAGAACCCGTGCTCACAGGTATGCCTGAAGACACCTGCGGGGCCATCATGCGCCTGCGCGCCCGGCTACAAAATGATGGGCAACGGGTTCAGCTGTATGGACATCAACGAGTGTCAAAGCAGCCCTCCAGTGTGCAGTCAGCTGTGTCACAATCAGAATGGTGGTTATAGTTGTGATTGCTACAATGATTTTATGCTCAGGTAAGATATTCAGAGATGGACAATCGATCGTCCATGCATTCATTAGTTTGACAGGAACAAAAATCATAAATACAATTTCGGTTTCATGGACTTGTTTGTGAAGTTAGACAAGAATAATTGTCACATTCTTGTTGTACTTTTTTCTGAATAATCCCGTGGCGTCGAGAAAATTTGGCGAAAAGTTGCAATAGGGTTGTACAGGGTGATTCACCATAAATGTCCCCTCTTCCTCTAGCTCAGTTATTTGGGAACCGATTGCAAAATTTTAAATCTCATCTTAAATGATTTTCGATAGAGTTTTTTCCGCTACATCAGAAAATACAAGGTGCTCGGTACAAACGATCTACAGGGTACTATGTGATTTTTTAAAATGGAACACCCTATTTTTCATTGTATCTTTAGATTCTTCCTGAAGAGCTGATTTCATCAATATATCACACATGGGGTCTAGCGGGAACGATTACAGAGATATAGGGTGTTCAAAATCAAGATTTTTCAACTTTTGTCGAAACTATTCATAATTGGTCAAAACGGCTTTAATGTTCCTATCTCAACTCTTGATTTACTATCTACTGACATTTAATTGGAACATATACAGTTTGGTTCAAGATTCAGAATTGTGATCACCCTGTATCTGTTCCAATTATCAAATGTCAGTAGATAGTAAATCAAAAGTTGAGATAGGGACATTTGAGCCGTTTTGACCAATAATGAATAGTTTCGACACAAAAAATCCAAAAGTTGAAAAATCTCGATTTTGAACACCCTATATCTCTGTAATCATTCCCGCTAGACCCCAAGTGTGATGTATTGATGAAATCAGCTCTCCAGGGAAAATCTAAAAATTCAATGAAATACAGGGTGTTTCATTCGAAAAAATTAAGTAGTACTCTGTAGATCGTTTGTTCCGAGCACCTTGTATTTTCTGATGCAACGGGAAGAAAATTACTGAAAAATCATTTTAGATGATTTTCGGCATTTTCAAATCGGTTCAAAAATAAGTGAGCTAGAGGAGGGGGGGGGGACATTTATGGTGAATCACCCTTTACACACTAGTCGAATTTACGCCACATACTTATTTTCTATTGATTATTTCGTGTATCAATAGTATTCGATGCATTCATTCGTTTAAAATCATCGCAAATATATATTTTTTTCAATAATTAAATTCGGCGACTTCGAAAAACGCCAAGTCCGATGACGTCATGAACCGAATACGGGCTTTCGTAAAAAAAGTAGGACCACATATTTCGACGCTGCCAGATTTGTAACTAGCAATTACCCTATGAGATCTAATATGACCATTGACAATAATACTATTCATATTCACAGAAAACAATAGTTCGACCTGGTCCCTAATAATCACTTATTGAATACTTACATACCTGCAAGATGCTTCAGGAAGAATAAAAATATCGTAGTTTTCCTAATAATGATGAAGATTTTATTCAATCCCAAATTATTTTGTGGCGTGGGCAACAGTGTGATGCCTAAGTTCCCAGAAATACAAAAACAGTAGAAAAAGACAGACTAACATTGTCAACCTAACTTCCTGACTTTAATATGGGCTATCACCTTCAACGTCAAATCCTTGTTCCATCTAGTTAAGATGCGAATATTCAATAAATAATTCTCATATTATCTGATTCTTCAGTTGTGTGTGGTGTTCTCTGTTATATGCAGTAAGGATTCAATCCAGAAAATTCAATCCATATTCTGATTGAAATGACAATCAGAAATATTCTTGAACTTGTCTATCAGAAATGAAGAATTTATGAGTGAGTCGAACCTTATATGGTGTTCTCCGATTATTACGTCAAGCGTTTTCCCGCGTTTCTCATGTTATGAAATATCGCGAATTTCAATAAATAAGGATTTTAGAGCTATATATAAAGAGATTTTTCGCAATTTCCAACATCTTGTATATAATTCTCAGATTCATGTTACATGTAAGTATATGAGTACAACAGGGACAACTTTTCAGTCATCCTAAAAGGATTTATGATCCGCCATTTTTTAGCCGATTTCGAATAGGTAAGAAAGTTTGAATAAGGTTTTTTGGGATGATGATGGTTATGTAAATATAGTTTTTCTATGGTCATGGGCATGGCAGAAAACTATTCCTAAACTATTTTTCATGATGTTGCCCAACATGTTATTGATATTTTGATGGTAAATCAATATTTCGATTGACATTGAATTTGAATGTTATGTTATTTCAGCCATTGTCAAGTCATTTTATTATTCATTTATGTTGAAGACATTGAAAAACTACAGTGTATAACTCGCACGTGCTTGTTAATCAATATCGAGATCAATATACTATTGCCAATCCCCAATATCCTGAATAGCGATATCAAGTATTCTCAGATTAATGTTGAATGTTCCTTTAAACAAATTTTGTACTGGCTGTTTTGAAGAGAAACGTCGAAAGTCCGCCATTTTTCACCCGATTTCAAATAGGTTATTGAAAAAACAAATCAATGGTTATAAAAATACTAGAAACTGTTGTGAATGTCAGGTTGGGTTTCCAATAATAAAAAATCACAAGATGATATTTGAGTTGGCTATGTCGGTTAAATTGTGTGAAGAAAATTTATTGAAATTCTGATGGAGCTACAAGCTGTGGAATTTTGAAAGACTGGATAATGAATTATGGATTAAAAATAAACTATGAACAGGTTTATGCGATTTTCTAGTTCAACTCAAATGGATTTTTTACAATTCCAAAAATTTTTATTGAACAAGGAAGACTCGAAATATTAATTTGTGACACATACATACATAATTCAGAAGCATAAGGTTAATTCAACGGAAAAAACATATATCATTCCATTGGATATAAAAAGTTGATTATTCTGTTAAAATTATTGCATTTTGTATAATTCCCTGAAATGATATCTCTTATAAGGAAGAGTTGACTATACCTTGAGTACACCTTGACTGATATTGAAAAAATTTACATGCACACCAGTCTTTCGAACGCTCAAGCTTGTATTTGTATATTTAAAAAACTGATGGAGAATGCAGAAATACAGCTCGAATAAATGTGATTACAGATCGGACAAAAAGTCTTGCAAAGCCGAAGGACTCCCAATGTCCCTCATATTCATCACCGGAGGCCAAATCAGGGAGCTCACGCAGAAATCGAACATAATGTCCATAGTGTTCGCCAGCCCAGTGCCCAAAATAACCGGCTTGGACGTGCTGCTCGACCCGAAATCCGTCTATTTCAGTATCGAGGCGACATCCACGATTCACAGGTAAAGGTGACAAACTATGGATATAGTGTCTATATTGCACTGAAGAAACTCGATACTATCGATTATCCTATCGATATATATTTTTTTTAATGACTCGACCGTTACTTGATGTAAATCCATGGCAAATGTAAAAACTTCACAATAAAGGAATAAAGCTCAATCATTAGGAATCAACAAACTCAAAAATTCTAACATTTTACTTAACGATCACTTAGACAAAACTAATCTCATAAAATTTCATAATCATCAGAGGGAATTGGTAGATGTAGATATAAATTTAAATAACACACCCTTACCTATAAATAACAGCTGTAAATTCTTAGGAGTAATCATTGACTCACATTTAGATTGGAAAGAACATTGCAAGATCGTGATTTCCAAACTTTCATCACTCCACTATATGTTCAGAAATCTCAGAGTTGTTTCAACACAGCAACAACTGATAAATTTATACTACGCACAGGTGGAAAGTCGACTGAGGTATAGTATTTGCCTATGGGGAGACTCTACACTGTCGAATGATGTCTTCGTTTCTCAAAAAAAATCTTGTACAATTGTATGTTGTCTTAAAGAAATAAAGTGATTTGATTTGATTACTTCATTAGTTCAGGATTGTTGAATTTGTTTTCTTAGTAGGTAATTATATATATTTGCTATCACCCCTTTCAAGTTAATCCGTTACACTGTATTTTAATGTAGATATTATGCCTATTTTCCGAAAATGAAGGTTTACGGAACCTTTCCACAGGTAATTCTAATCCTACAGGTTAATCCGTTACACTGTATTTTAATGTAGATATTGTGCCTATTTTCCGAAAATGAAGTTTACCGAACCTTTCCACAGGTAATTCTAATCCTTCAGGTTGGGAAAGTAGGAAGTAAAGTGTTTCCACACATATGCCCAACTCTTTATATCGAATTACTATAACCAAAATCGCCTGAAGAATTAAATTAAAAAAAAGCATGACTATCGATAGGATATGTGAAAATTTCACAAACGATGAGATTTCCACAAAATTCTTAGTAACACGCCATGTTTCGCTAATACAGTAGCTTCGTCAGGTGAAATACTGTGGGTAGTCACTCTGCTTCTATCTCCAATTCTCCAATCAATAGTCAATTCAAACTATCGATTGTTTCGATATATCGAAAAAAATTAAAACTATCGGTACTATCGATAATACTATCGATTGTTTGATTCCTTCATTTAGGGTCCCTTGATGTAAATTGACGTATTTGTCATCTCAACAGGGTACGGACAGATCCTCGTCTCCTCTCACTCTATAGTGTTTGTGAAACAGCTATATAGTTCCATCTTTTTTTTTTCGCAATTGCATACCTCCTTAGTCCCAGCACTGGGACCAAACGCTCCATAAGTCGAAACTTGTGCGGGGTTAGGTAGACATACAAACACAAACATCCATTTCCTAACTAGGATTCGAACCTAGGTCTCGGTGGGAGTCCCCATACGAACTCAGCGCCTTAACGCTCTCGACCACCGAGCCGCCTGGGGATTAACACTAGATTTCTGACATTTGTTGTTTTTTAGGTTGTATTGAGGACATTGGCGTATCATACGTAATTTCCACATGTAATTTCTTATTCAACTCAACATGTTATATCCAAATGATGATGATAATTTTCGAGTTTTTGATTTGCCAACTCCAACATAATCTTTGTTAGGCAGTGAGCAAATTTTTCTGAAATTTTAATACGTTTCACCAAATGGGACTGTTCTTAGGCAGTACGCAGACTAAGCCTTATGATTGAGAAATGGTGAAACATTTTAAGTAGGCATTCAAACTAATGTGCCCATATGTCATGTGTGCTGTATATATTCATGTTGGGAATCATTTTTGCAGTTTTTCACGAACACTTAATATTTCCTGAATGTAGGTATAATTTTTCAATTGGTAGGGCATATGCCTCTTCTTTTTATCCTCCGTTTTAATCAAAACTGTTTCTACTAAAATGCATTCAAAAACTTGTGGAGTGGATAATTATAGGCACAATGAGAGAGTATATGTGATTTCGTATTAGTTTTACCTCGAATATTTTGCTGATGTATTAACCAATTTTCCCCATTCGTTCACTTCACTTTCCATGTTCTAAGTTCATTTGCATTTGATGGAAAGCTGACAATCTCAAATTTGCCATCCAACTGATTGATACAGCCTAACGCAGCACATTTTACCATCCTTCCAAAAGAGAACTGAATAATGTCGTATTAAGATAAAGTATGAAATTGAAATTTCGTAAGATCTCTCTTAACGCCTATGAATGTGACGTGACAGCAATGTCATGCCAGGGACGCCAATACACGAAACCATAGTCACTAGATGATTGAAAGAGAAAGGATATAATATGATCTGTCCGTATCCTGTTAGATGACAAATACCTCAGTTCGCATCAAGGGACTCTACCTTTATTCACAGGGTCGACAAGGACACCCAGACCAGGCACTACATCAAAAACGTCGGGCAACCACAAGCGCTCGCAGTGGATTGGTCGACTCGCAACGTTTATTACTACAACGCAGAAGTTAACGAGAAGTCTATCAGGGTTTGCAGTTTCGAAGAGAAGTGCGCCAAGCTGATCGACATCGACATACACAGACAAGTATCCGCTTTGGCGGTCGATTCGGTGAATAAGGTTATGTTCTATTCGGTGAATAGCTGGTGGGTATTCAACGCTCCTAGCTACGTCATCTACAGATGCAATTTGGATGGAAGTGGTAGAACTCAGTTGGTCCAAACGACAGCTGGTAAGTAGGAATTGATGATTGTGAACGGTAAATTTATACAACCTCTGACATTTCCTGAACCAAATTTCGTTAAATAAACTTGGAATATGTTGTTTCATTCATTTTGCCAGGAATAAATTGAAAATATCAAATTTAGCTTTTAATGAAGTCAAGACAGTCCATAGCTATAGGACTAGACAATTGAATCACTTGATAGTAAATAAATTCAAGTCGAACATTGGCAAACAATCTGTATTTCACAATAGAATAATATTATTCAATTCATTACCAAATGAGTTGAAAAATATACATGTTACTAGAAGGTTTGAAATCAATCTTGAAAATTACTTGCTCAGGACAATTTGAATGAAAAATATGTGTGGCATGATTTGATTACTCAGAAATGAAATGTTATAACTTTCATCTTAAGAAATAATATTAATTTGTTTCCACTGAGTGCAATCCATTAATAATTAACCCTTTATTATATCCTTTTTATATATTCCTATTATGAACAGAAATGTTTCTTGGCGTAATAAAGACAATCAATCAATATATTGTCATGTGAGTACATTAGATAGATTAGATTACTTTGCATACGATCATGGCCACCTAGATGCAATATTGAAAGTGATCCCAAAATGAAGTAGGCGTTGAAACTCCTGAAAATGTCATATTCCGATCCTGGATTGTCTCAGAAATTCACAGATGTTGGGATATACAGGGTGTTCTATTCAAAAATGCAAAACCATAACCATTTTCGGTGAAACCGGAAGTGACCGGGAGTGAAAAATATGCCAAAACTTTCGTCTCTACATACCATATCACATATCGAATTTTATTTTGATGTACCAAATAAACTAGAAGTTAAAGCTTGTCTAATAGATTTGTTGTCTAGTCGATTTCGAAATATGCTGACTTTTTATATTATTTTTCTGTTTGCACCTTCCTCTTTGAGAATCAATAACTCTTTCATTTTTCAATTCATCCGAATTTGGTTGGGAAAGTTCAAGTACCCATAACTATTATTTTTACAAATGGAATTTTTTTCCTTTACTAAATGAAATAGAAGTCAACCCCACATCGATCTGTAACAATGTTCACTATAGCTATTTCAAATAATATTCATATTATGATGATTTTTCCCGATGTTGAGGGAAATTCATCACTAGTTTCAGAGTACCAAGTACCGTTTTTGCATAGTTTGCCATGGATATGAGAAATGTCAGAACACTCCAACATATCTTTTATTCATTTGAGATTTCGACCTATCTCTCGACGGAAAAATGGAATCGTATTGCCTTAAAAGTTTGATAACTTTCAACTATCTGATCTTATTTGCGAACTTGAACTTATTCTGAAGTTATGAGACTTCAGTATTTGTTCAAACCTGAACCACCAGATGTCGTTTTTGACGCTTCAGGAGCTTGAAATTTTTAATCAAAAGGAAAATGGAAGGCTAAGATGACAAGAACCAAATTTTGCTACGGGTTTTCACAATGAAGTAATAAACAAGAATATTTTTTGGGGTACAACCACTACCCAACCTCAGTGAAAAACGCTACTCGCTAGTGATAATGGGATAGGGATAATGTAAATGAATTCTAAAACATGAACGATATATTAAAATATTGATAGAGTTCATTGAATACAGACTGATCGGTGATAAAATATCTACATTAAACTCCAAGGAGGTCAAAGTTTCGCATTCCCTCAGTCAGTCATTACACAAAAACTTTTTCAGGCTATGTAACCGACATCACTTTCGACTACAACAAAAAGAACCTCTACTTCATGGACCAACATCTCGGCCAGATAAACTCCATGACCTATGAAGGCAAGACTAAAACGCCGATTTTCTCCAACATTACTCGATCGACAGGCCTGAAATTCTTCGAGAATCATCTTTACTACACGAGCAACGGAGGCATGATCGCCAAATGCAGGTATAGTCCAATCAAATGGTATTTTCACTTGGAAAAAATTCAAGTAGTCGGTTTCTCTGTGGTTTCATATGTTTCTGGAGGTGCTGAATTCGAATCTGAATTTTGCAAACAAAATTTCTTAGGGCGTTTCGAGATATTCGCAAAAAAAACAGCGAAATTCTCGGACTTTCTTCGTTTTTTTTTTGCCCGTAACTATGATATGCCCGCTCAAAGATTTTTGAAATTACATTCAGCAGAGAGATTAATCTATAGTTGTCGATACATGTAGGATCCGCCTTTTTGTGTACTGGGATTAGTTTACTCAATTTCAAGTCGTGTGGAAATACTCCCGTTTGAAAGGATATGATATCAAATCGATTATATTATGTTTGATCAATATGATATTAATTCCATCATCACCTACAGAGCGTTTATTTTTAATATCACTGACAATATCTACAATTTCCGCATTGGTGACAGGAAAGTAAGCAAAACTGTTTGTTGTCCAATTAGTTGTGAAGGTGAAATTGTTAGTTTTTTCACCGAAGAAATGCTCTAGCTCCCTAGTTTTCTCATTAAAGTTTACTGCAAAATGTTGGGCAAGTGACATACTGTCAGTTATTATTTCATCATTTATAATTAGTTCAATCTTATTCATTTTTTGCTTTCTACCAACAGTATTGTTGACTGTTCCTAATTGTTTTCTGTTTGTTACCACTGTTTGTAATTAGTAGGTCATTGTGCTCTTTTTTCTTTTTGGTTATTAGACAGTTGTAGTCTTTTTTAAACTTTCTATAGTATTCCCAGATGCCTTCATTATTCAGACTGCGAGCTCTACTATATATATTTTTTAGTTGCTCACCTTTCTCATGAATCTCTTGGTCATACCATTTATTATTATTTGCATATTTCTCAACTTTAACACTGATCATCTGGCAGTTCGAGTCAATGGCAAAGTTTAAGGTTTCCATGCAACTACGGAAAGCTTTTTGGTAAAAGTCCATGGTATCTCAAAGTGGAGTGGATAGATTCATAAGCAAGACTTAGTGTTTGCTTATGAAAGATATCTATTGCACGAAAAACATTTTGTACAATTATTTGTAAATGCAGGTTGTACGACTCCTTCGGATGCGAGAGTTTCCGGTTGCATCCCTATCCAGTCGAACTGTTCACCATCGTCCAGAAAACGGTGCAGCCGCCGCTCGATAATTTGTGTGAGCGGAACACTTGCTCGTATATGTGTGTACCCGGCGAGACGAGTTACAGATGCCTGTGTCCGAACGGTACACTCGTTGCCAGAAATGAAGTTTGCGTGGTGAACGAAGTAAGTTGACCATTTTGCACATGTTACGTTTTTGAATCAAAGCGCCCGGATCTACGTTCGTCACTTTCAACATAAAGCGGGGTTCAGAACCAAACTTTTTACGTTTTGCTTTTCATGTTTTGTATTCTGATTGGTGAAACGGAATGTGAAATTGAATGTGAATTGAACAACCAAAAAACGTCAACGTTAGTTTTCCATGAGTTTTTACGGCTTTTCTCAGTGGCCTGTCTGTCACTTGTGCTTCATCCTGAAATGAAGTGAAATAATCACAACAATAATATTAACTAAATAACGAATGATATACATGAGAACTGGCGGAGACGTGAATTGCTCCTTAAAGAGAAAAATCAATCCTAAGAAGGCAAATATTGGATGAGGTTATCATTGAGGTGTGGTGTGAGAATAGGTTAAATTATGTATTTAGTATCTGTCTATTTTTACCATTTTCCTACATCATGTCATTTTCACACTTAGTGGCATCTTGCAACGCTAAAAGCTGAAAATATTCAACTTTTTGCGACATGTCAATTCCAGATTCTGCTTCACCAATCAGAATGTGGAACGTAAAAAGCAAAACGTAAAAAGTTTGATTGTGAACGCCGCTTAAGAGGGCAGATAATGGGAAAATTTTGGCTGTGTCAAGTATATGGTTTGACTGGGCACATACGTTCAGTATGAAGTCTGACCAACCAGCTGTTTGGGAATATCGGTCACGTTTCAAACCTGCCCACAAAGTTACCAACGTTGACTTTTGATGGGAGTCGAGTCAACCATTGACCATCCTGGTAGCACCACTGTGGTTGAACGAATGACTTGACACAGCCTTTATGAGTTCAGATTTTCGCACGAATCCATTTTGCCCAAATATATGTATAGGAGACCAATCAGAACGTTACGGACAATGACGGTAAGATCAAATCACTGTTATTGGCGGTAAATTCGAATGACGAACGTTTTGACCATATAAATTAATAGCTGATATCTTTATGATTTAGCGCGAAATCAAGTCTACAGAAAATTTTCGACCGAGAGCAATCACTATCAGCCTCAACAGCAAATGCCTCCACAGTACTTTTTTCCAGGGCGGAGGGAAATATTCCTTCTGCATAAGGAAGGAGACTATTTTTTTTCAACATTCTAACTTAACTAAAAAGTTTATTTTTCGTAAAATCACTTGAGGACACAGAATAAAAAAAATGCCGACTGTCACAGCTTGTATGGAGCTGTATTGAATCCCATCGCCAAACATTGAACCGAATCTGTGTTCATAGGACCAGAACCATAACTATCTCGGACTGGTTGGAGGTGAAAAGACTCACGTACTGGTCTGAATTACCAGGATTAACTCATTCGAAGGCGTTTCTACCTAACCCATCGAAAAATATAACCAGGCAGATCTTAGAATGCAGCAGGGGTAACCTGCGAATTCTGACAGGACTGCTTACGGGACACTGTCGTCTAATATACCACCTGGGAAGGATGGATAAAAGGCTGAACACATATTACGTTGTTGCTTTTGCTTAGAGAGACTGAGGTTCCAAATATTTGGCCTAACCAACTTAGAACCTATCGATTTCAGACAAATCTAACCTAATTCAACCATTGACTTTGTAAAAAGATGTGGATTGTAAAGTGAACTGTAACATCTAGGGGTGAGCCACAATAGACCCAACTAGGGTCGCAGTGGAGGGGCGGCATTCGCCCCACTCACATGGAATTTAAACTTACCTAACCGATTATAGAATTTAATGCAGGGTATCCCATTTGAAAATCAGAAGTTGTGGTCATTTCTGGTCAAACCGGAAGTACGGCAACGCAAGTAGATATTTCAAATAATGTCAATAGCACTTTCATTTACAACCCCCAAATTTCGTGTTACTACCTTCAATAGTGAAAAAGTTTTAGGGGTGAGCCACCTTGTTAAATTAACCGGTATTTGCTGTTTTTGTTGATTTCTGATACTCCTTTCGTGTTCAATTCGGGCTGGTTCGGACTTGTTCGAATGTTTAATTCCGAATAGCAAATCTTAACATACCTATTCATATTAGATTCATTGATACCGTTTATCGCCTCTTGATGAGGTTGACATTATTTAGTATCCACCAGATTGCGCTATTGAGATGTGAGAACTTCCATATGACATATAATATTTCTTCTTTAATTCCTTTCCGCATCTACTTCATGATAGGTATCTTGTGCTTTGTTCATGTAAAAGTTGTTCGTAAAGTTTTTCATTGAAAGTGGAAAATCCAAGCCCTCCTAATCCTGAACAGTTTGCAAGTGTCAACGGATATAATGTTATTCTCCTAGTAAAAAAGTTTAAGTAAAACTTGTTTAGCAAATTTTACCTGTGGATTATATGGATTACACGAGTATAAATCAATATCTCATCATCTCATTCGTTTTCTAGTAAGACTCACCCTTTGGAGTTTTTCGCAAAACATCGTCAATATATATGAGTAAAGTAGTCTACTTTGTCTATGATCTATATTATAATATATATTTTCTGGTTTCAGCATTCTTCTGAAAACGACGATACAAAATATAAAGTACATTCGGTATCAATGAAAACTGATGACTCGAAGAAAAACAGCTCAGGAGCAATAGCAGCAGCTATTTTGGTACCCCTATTTTTGCTTTTCATTGCTGGAGCTTGCTTGTACAACATCAAGAAGAAGAATAATGGTGGCTTGAGCGTCAGGTAACAAAACAATTATTTTATTTGAAATATCATTTAATCTTTTGAAGTTATACAATTATACATACAGGGTGTAATTTAATTAATGGCGGAAAATAAATCATGTGGTTCCTCAGCCGATTTCAAGATGAAAAGTTCATATGAACATATGCCCTAAACCTCTTCTTCCGAGCTATAGGGTGTTGAAATTTCAAGAAAAATATCCTCTTATCATAACATCAATACTATTCTAGATATTTTTATGAAATTTGACAGGCACTTCCTAAGCACCAATAGGCATTTTCTGATGCAGGAGATTTTTTAATGAATCTACCATGCATTGGCATTCGTATGCAATATGTACAATGAAGATTAAAAAAAAACGGTATCTTTGTTTTTTCCAAAAATAAAAATACTTTTTGAAATCCTCATTTATTTTGAAAAACAATATTATCCCTCCGACGCACCGTTTTCACGTAAAAAATTCAATTATCTGTTAGTAAAGAATATCAGTATTAGCCAGGGATTTGTTATAATTGAGAGTCAACTGAAATTTACATGCAAGATAATCTGTTTCCAAACTCACTTCTGATAACACGTTCGATATCAAAAATCTGTTTTTCTTTCAATCCCAGAGTTGATATTAAATCAACATATATTGAAAATGAAATCGGTCCCAAAATTGATCCTTGTGGTACACTACATGTAATATTTATCAGTACCAAGTATCAGGCACTTCAACATACTATTTTCTATCTTTCAAATAGTTCGTGAGTCAATTTCAGTATTTATCAACGTGATTTCTACCAATTCAGGTATGTATCAACTATCAGCATGTTATTTTTTTCAGTATGCGGTTTTATAATCCAATTTATGGGAAACAAGTGGATGATGAGCATCCAATTCTTCAGCCTGGCCAACATGAATACTCAAATCCTGTTCATTTCGGCAAAGAAGATGCTCAATTGAATGTAAGTGATTTTTCAAAGAAATCATTGGATGTGTGATATTATCAAAGAAGGTTGAACATTTTATATTCTGTGTTAACGTTCTGTGTTATTTTACTTGTTTTATTGTTGATAATAGTCTATGAAATTTTAATTTGAAATGTATCAAGTTGATACAAACATTGTGAAAACTGTACCTACTTGAAAAACTACTCGCCCAGGTACCATATCAAACAAAGAGTTAGGTATAATTGTTGAATATTTATAATTTATAATAATAGTTGTTCACATATTAATAATATATTATTCTTTAACTTTTATGTACAGGCATTTTCATTTATAATGGTACAATCTCTTAATCATTCCTCCAAAAAATCTAACAAAGATCATTGCAAGGTATTCATTCCTGAATAAAATATGGTGGTATATTTTCCGAAATATTGAAAATCAATATATAATAATGTATCTTCAATTCCACAAATATTGAAATAATATGAGACATGATTTTTGAGAACAATTATAATATCTTCACTAATTATTTCAAGTACACATTATGTCAGGTACACATTGTAGAGTTTTATTGTCAAATCTTTCCCTTTTGCGACATTTTCTGTACATGAGTCTGTACCACCACATCACCTTCAAGCATTCATAGTACTCATTACAATTCTTGGATGGATATTTACCAGTACTTGTGCAGGCAGATGGAGGAGTTGAATCTGAAAATAAATAAGGAATATCAAAAATAATTGGTGAACATCAAAATGGGCGTGTACACCTTAGTAGAACTTTTAACTCAAACCATGTTTATAATGATCCTTTTATACATAAATAAGGATTGACGACATAATTCGATCGAAAAATTAACTGGAATGTTTTATTCTTAGACATAAATAATAGTACCTTCTGAAAACGGACCCCATTATGACGTAGAAACCTCATCTCGCCATAGTTAAAAGAAAACACCAAACGCCCGACGGAGACTGAGGCAACTGATATATTATAATTAAGAGAACAAATTCAAAGTCTCGCTCCAAGTAAATTATAATCAAATCATATAATTATGCTACATGTTTCGACTCCTAGGAGTCATCATCAGGCTTGCTAGGTAGGAGGAGAAAAGAAACTATAAAATTGACAACATAGTTCATAAGGGTTTTAAGACCAAAATAATTTTAAAAAACATTTTTGAATTTTGGTTTTTTGAACCCCCAAATAAACATTTTTCCTAAGATGCTTCTTTTCGGATCAAATAATGGCGAGTATTACTCGCGCCATTTGCTGTACACTATGTTTATTTGATCCAAGAAGAAGCATCTTAGGAAAAATGTTTATTGGGGGGTTCAAAAAACCAAAATTCAAAAATGTTTTTTAAAATTATTTTGGGCTTAAAACCCTTATGAACTATGTTGTCAATTTTATAGTTTCTTTTCTCCTCCTACCTAGCAAGCCTGATGATGACTCCTAGGAGTCGAAACATGTTGCATATATGATTTGATTATAATTTACGCGAGACTTTGAGTTTGTTCTCTTAATTATCTCATCACCCCCAATTTGAGCATGGACTACTACCAGAGATTTACTGATATATTAATTCATTCAACTGTGATCTCGCGCTAATCCACTCTGTCAGAAATCATGTATCATTCATCTCTGTCTGGAATAGTCTTGATTCAGTGTTAGGGTTTTGACGTCACATCGTCGCCTCGTTTTCAGAGGTCCAAAAAATCGGGGATTTCAATAATTTTTTATAAAACGTAGGGAGCTCACAGCAAGAAACGGTTTGCGGTGGTGAGCTAGTTTGGGTGAGTTCTATCGAATTATGAAATTAAATTTTTTTGTGATATAATCCCATTGACAAGAATAAGTAAGTAATGAAACAAAAATCAACATCTTGTCCACAATACACTAATTTTTTTTCCATACGGCATAGAAAGTGGCTGTTCTAGCAAAGATCTACTTTCTCTGCCTAGTCAAAAAAGTTTGTTGCTATGAATGAAATTGGTAATCAAAATTGACAATGACATTAGGTGAGAACACTATGATAATTATGATCTGAATTTACACCCTAACAATAATATTCATTGATTCTCCTTCATAGAATACTATTAAGGATCACGAACATTTTCAAATATTTTATTTATTTCAAATATGTTGAATTTCAAATTATCCATATACCACCAGAAAGTTATTTAAAAGTTGGGAATTTGAGCTATTGAATTAACTCCTAACTTATTTGGAGGAGAACCAAGTTGTTTCCGTTTAAATAATTAATAGTTATTAAATAGCTACTATAGATAATTGTATTTTCATTAGATTGGACCAAATCCTCTGTCAGTAAACATATATAAAGAAATACATTGAGAATTCGCATTCTCCATGTGATGAAATTATTAATTCTTTCTCGGTTTATTCAACAGAAAACAACTACTTTCCTGGCTATATGCCACGACGAATATTGAATTACATCTATTGAACACACACGATAAGAATTTGAACATTAAATTATATCTGTTGAATATCCAAAAAGAGAGCATGAAAAATCAAAATCCTCTGAAATTGAGAATTGACATTATCTCTCAAATCGAATAGAATAATATGATGTATTAAGATATATTTTTGTATCATAATGTGATTTTAAAATACAGAGTCTACGCCTTATACTTTTTCATAAATTGAATTTGAATGTGGAATTTGGGTCTTTTTTCGATAAACAGATAAAAAGACGATAAAAAATAATCCACAGGGCATGAAAGGTGTTAACTAGTCTTAAAGGATAGCAGATGACCCCTTCATGCGACCATTTCAATTTGGCACACGATGCACCAAACACCCTGTATATATCAATTTTTTTGTGTTCATAAATATATCTGAGAATATGCCTTTTCAATACATGATAATATGGTAGGTACCTAATTATGACATAATTTTTTATTCCACTTTACCTTGTATTTCGGTTTGCCTCAAGTATTCCAAAGTCAGGATATTATTATTAGTAGTTTCCATGGGGCTTGTGACTGCTGAAATCAAACAAAGATTTTGGAAAAAGATATCCTAACAACTCAACGCCTAAGAACATGTTCCCAGACAGCACTGGATATTCATAGAATATTCTCTAAATATGCTAAAAAGGAGGAGTATATTCCGAATATTCGAAGAATATATACATGCCTCTGGAACATCTAAAAGGAATATTCCAAAGTGAATAGTCGGACATGTTCAGGGAATATTCAGGTATGAATCTTCCAGGAATATTCCCAACTGAATATTCTCTGTTGTATATTCATGAAATATACCCAACTGAATATTCTGTGCGGTATATTCATGAAATATACCCAACTGAATTTTCTGTGCGGTATATTCATGAAATATTCTCAACTGAATATTCTGTGGTGTATATTCATGAAATATTCCATAAATATTCCTATGTTTCTCAACATATAAATACCATTTATTATTTCAGAGATGTGAGTATCGAACATCGATTAGATGTAAGGGGATTTTGAAACAAAAAGTGTTTATGACCCGATTTCGAACAATGCTCTCACAAGAATTTGATATATGTTACATCATTATTCAATTCGATTACTGGCCTTGTGGTCAAGGCGTTGCTCTGGTAGTCTGGAGGTCACGAGTTCGATCCCTACTTGGGTCACTTTTTTTTTATTTTAGAATATGTTTAATGGAATATTCCAGAAACATTCAATATAGAATATTCTTTTGGGTATATTCTATGATTATCTGAGGAATTCCCATTCGCATATTCAGAGAATATTCCACAGATATTCCGGAATATTCCAGATTATTTCTAGAATATTCCAATATTCCAAAAGGAATATGATAGGGAGATTCATGGAATATCTGGTGCTGTCTGGGTTAATCTGGATAATTATTTGATAATAATCAGTTCGGTTTCCTAGAAAATAGTGGTACACAAACAGCAGTACTACAAGTAGTACAAAAAATTCAAGAAGGACTTGATATGAGAATTTCATTGTAGCTATTTTCATTGACCTCAAAAGGACATTTGATACAGTATAAGAATCTTTTAGAATACTTGGAATCGAAGGGACTCGAAGACATTAAAAACCTTTTAGAATCTTATCTTGAAAATGGGACAATCAGCACTAAATGTAATATGTCAGAATATTTCCAATAAGTAAAGGTGTTCCACAGAGATCTGTTTTAGGGCCCTTCTTGTATTTATTATGTATATTCAGAATATTTCTAAAATTGGATTATCAGTTGATTATACAATATATGAAGATGATAGATACTGTACTGTACACGAAAACAAAAACCACGTCATTATATTATTATTAACGGAGATTTGAGATAATTGGAAAAATTGCTTTATTCAAACATGTTATAAATTAATACCAATAAAACTGAATATATCCATCAGTATTGAAAATAACTACACAAATAAAGTATCTTGGTATGTGAATTGATGAAAAATTTAGATGGGACAAGCATTTATAGAGGTTCTGGTACAAAAAATATCTTCAATCATTTAAGCTTTGCGAAGATGTCCTTAACTTGATAAAAAAATCATAAACATAGTACTTCATTCTCATATACTCAGTTGTATTACCTATATGATGAACGTTTGGGGATCTTGTTCAAAATAATATTTCAGTAAAATATCTGCACTTTATAAGAAATCTCTGAAAGTATTGTATCGCCTCTCATTTGAAATCCCAACAAATGATCTGTATGCGATAACAGAAAAATTTTCATTGGATGAAGTGAATAAAATAGATTGTCTTGAATTTTCATATTATATGTATCATGAACAAAAATCTGAAATCCAATTTTATTTTGATAAGAAACTCAGAAATTCGTGGTCATCACACGAGATAATTAAACTTATTTCATCTTGATTCTGTTACTTCTATAATTGGCAAAAAAAAACTCACGTTGCTCTAGCTGAATTCAATAAATTACCATATAATATAAAAAATTGCAGCGATATATCGAAATTTAAAATTGCATTAAAAAACATGATTTTATTACGAAATATAAAAAATTGATACTTTGCCATCAACTGATTAGTTCCA